CACATCTTCCTGTTGATCATAGTTGAACTCCTTAATCAACTCTTGGGATCGGGTCAAAGTTGGGTCATCCGCCATAGTGTACTTGTATAGTAATGTACAAGTACACACGCAAAGGTAAACTACGCGGTAGCAGCAAACTGAACTTATTGCAAATTTACAAAAGATAAGAGAGCTCGATATTTGCAACACAAGCTACACTGATTACACACACTGATGCTCTTGTAGAGCGATATCAGTTTTAAGTTTAGACCAGTCCAGAACCGGAGCCCTCTTCTCCGTCTTGCTTATCCGTAGACTAAGCTTTACCCTTGCTACGACTACTCTGTGATCCGAGCCAATACTGTGGAAACTACCATATGCTTCGGATTTCTTGACGGAGTTCCGCCATTTCTTCCGGCAAATGATGAAGTCGATTTGAGATTTACTTTGACGCATATCTGAGAGATATGTCCAGAGTTTACCTCTTCGCTTCTGAAATCTGGTGTTTGTGATTTCTAGCTGTCGCTCCAACAGCATATCCTCTAGCAGTCTACCATTTCGGTTTGCTGGACCCTTGTGGAAGGATGTCCAGTTTCCTGATGATGAGACATGCGCATTGAGGTCTCCTACAACGAATAGTAAGTTGTGTGCTGGTATCTGATCTATGGCACCACCAAGACTGTCATAGTAGCTTCATCGACAGTCTGCATCGGGCTATAAGTCACAATAACAGTTGTGACTGGGTTCCCTGCAAAGTTGGCTACCATCGTCCTCCTGTCATGTGAGTATACACTAATCAATGAGTTGAATACTGTCGTTTTGTCCAAGACAATACCAACCCCACCAGCAGCCGCCCCATTGCTGGTTCTCCATGCCGAAATTGTTATGAGGTGAGAGCTGCCAAGATCGACACCTTCTACCATACCACCCATCTCGATAAAGTAGAAGACAAACCGGGTTATCTCCCTAGGTATGTGACCGACGGTATCTAATATAGTCTTGTAGGTACCTTCGTACCTTATCTGCACAGCGCAGATAAGCTTACTGTATGAAAAATGGATTTAAAAATTATTTGCTAAAATTATAAAAACTTCAAAAAAAGATGAAAAAATTCGGATTTTTTATGGTTTTGATTGCCTTTTAGCGTTCATATTAAAGTATTAATGTCCGTTCATAATTATGTCCGTTCAAGTAATGTCCGTCCAAATAAGGTCCGATAAGGTGGTCATCTTGTGAATTATTATACATGACCTGACTGCCTGAGCTTAAATGCCTAATTCCGATAATGCCCAACGAATCCATTATGTTGATACCAAGTTATACATGTAGTCTATTGTGATGAAGGGGGCAGATGTTTATTACACCCAGCTATCAATGATGGATCGTTGTACACTGTTGCGCGGGCTTACTCCATTTAATTTCACCATTGTTTGGGTTGGGTAATCCCTGAGCAAAGTGTTTCGCCCAGCTTTCAATGATGAATTGTACACTGTTGAGCTGACTCCGAATCTCTCAGTGGCTATTTTTCACAGTACGCACCATGCCAATAAGTGCAATTATGCCGTACAGTACCGTAAAATGGGGGAACTTCGCCATGTTTTACAGCTATTTCATGTTATATTTAGAAAATGCGACACGAGTACTTGAAAAAGTTTATAGCTCATATCAACAGGATTGGTAAAGCAAATGTTTTCGTATGAACCACATCAGCCACGCATAAATAGTCAGCTAGATTCATGGTGCCACTGGAATCAGAGTCACTTCGCCCGGGATGAACTACAAATGTAGTAGTCGAACTTCGCCAATACTCGAAATTGGAGTGCAATCCACATAAAGTGACATCCAAGTCATCTTCATCACCTCAGTTGACGTTTCTGTAATATGAATGTGAAAATGTGTTTCTAGATCAAAACACGCAGTTTTTCTAGTAATTCTAAATCATGACTCAATGTAAAACTAAATTGTAAATATAGGGCCTGTCATGATATCATGGATCGCTTAGGTTCCACACTTCCACCAGGATCTGGTATTCCTCATAATTGTGCGGCCTCTATGTATCGTCATCATCGTCGACATTAAATTATTTATTGCACCTTGCATACACCCCGACACACATCATTATTCCTATTTATACCCGCTGCATACCATGTATTTCATGTTCATTTCATGTGTTCAATTGGACACAAATTGCTAATAAATGCAACTATATCATGTTTAAACTAGCAAACTAGCTGAAGACGATTTAAACATGTATTTTGATAGCTCTGTTACCTGTTACTAATTAATCGATAGGATCATAATGTTGATTGTATCGATAAAACATTGATTTAAAGGCATAAGAAAGCTTTGTTGAGTTCTGAAACCAAGTTTAATCGATTTCTCGTGCAATTTTAGGTCAGGAATGGTATCAAAATAAGTTTATAACAACGTCGATATTTTGGTAAATTTCTAGCTTTCTGCCAGAAAATATTCGGTTTCTATCTAGGAGGTAATTAGGTATAAACTACAGTACATTGAATGTGACTGTATTTACACCCACATTCACAAGCATGCAAGCTCACCTGGTCCAATGAGCGGGAAACGGACAAAAACCTCTGGTGACGTCATAGTCACGTGACCTCAGGCTCATAATCACGTGACCTCAGACCCGATCAATTGGGTTCTGGCCTGGTCAGACCTGTGTCACCCGATCTTGATCAATGTCTGGAAGGCTGCAAATTTTCACATGCCAAATTCACAAGATTCTTAAAGAGTTGAGCGAGATGACGATACATAGAGGCCGCAAAATTATGAGGACTACCAGATCCTGGTGGAACCTTTAAGCGATCCATTATATCACGATAGGCCCTACGGTGCGTGTGATAGGAATGAGGATCATATGCTGCTTACAAGTTACCCAGTGGATCCACACACTGCATACGTGGCTTGAACTAACCCGAAGGAATTATGATCAGTGGATCACTTCGAAACACGTGATGTGAACCGACGAATCGTATTCGCAAGATCACTTCGAAATAGGTGACGTGAACCGACCCGACGAATCACTTAGCCAACGCTTGAAAAATCTCAAAGATAACTCCCTTGTCTCCTTAGCTTTCAAAGAACAGATGAACATGAAATTGGACTAGTACAGGGGTTTGGAGCCTGTTCTCGCGCTAGACCCTTGTTTCTCTACCGATCATGTCACAGCCTACCGCACACTCAAAAACAATCACTCCAACTTTAATTTTCGAAAGAAACCCGAGTATCGCAAAACCACCAAAAGAGGACTTTCTTATTCACAACGGTTTCAAAAAACGAATTCCTCCGCAATCAACACAACCCATCGGGAGTAAAATATTCACATGACACCACACGTCATTACTAAAACTTTAGAGAATATTGGGGGTCCTGTATCAACACTTCTCGGAAATTAGAATTCTATCGTGACCTAAAATCCAAATTTAACAAAGAGTATTACCTAGACAGTGTCATTAAATATGCAGACCGTGCTAATATCACAAGACTGCGGATCAGTGCACATCGACTCGAAATTGAACTTGACCGATATAATCAAACTCCTCGTGATAAGCAAATATGCTCCTGGTGCAATATAGTCTTAGGTTCTGGTATTATTGAGAATGAAGATCATTTCCTTAACCATTGTGATCTTAACGCTGCATCGAGGCGAAAAGTCCTAGACAAGATCCAGCCACTCATATCAAATCCAATCAAACCATCTGCGACATCTTATTCTGTCCACACTGTCATCCCTGGAGCAAACGTCCTCAAATTCATCAGCAACAACAGTGAAATCATTGAATTAATCACGAACGAAAGTCAAGTCCACCTCACGAGAGTCGTTGCTAGATTTGCCACTATGTGTTTTAACAACCACAAGAAATTCATCGACTCTCTGGCCAGTACATGAACACTGAAAATCACTGTACCAGCGCTTTTGTTTCTTTTCGCGCAACAACGAGTGCAAAGTGGCCTGGCTCAAGCATTACAGCATTACAAAGGCGACTGTAAACAAAATATTTTTTGTCAAAATCTTTATTTTTACTTTAGTTTAAGTTATATTAATATAATAAATTCAAATCTTATGATATTGTTATTATCTTAACAGTTACTATTGTAGCTCAAGATTTTAAATTTGTATTCCTTGTATTCCTTGTATTCCTTAATCATCATTGTTAATGGTCCATAAAAAGGATCTGGATAGGATGTGACCTGAACTTGGAAATATTAAATAAGTCAGGATATTTTGTCGCACTAGAGTACGCTACCTGGATCGAAGTGCGACACGTACTGTAGTACTAGTGCGACAGAGGGTGTTTTTGTCGTACTTCGCACAAGAGTACGTGTCGCACTACAGTACGATTACCAATTTATCGTTAGGGTTAGGGTTTCAGCATATGAGTTTGTTAAGAATCGGGTTAGGGTTATGATTGTGATCAGATAAGAGGGTTACCGTTAAGGTTTCGATAATCGTTCAGGGCCAGCTGGCAGCTAGAGAACGGGTTAAAAAAGTCACGTGACAGTCGAGTGTAGAGTGATTAATCATCATCCCACCACTCTTGACAATCAACATACCATGTTATTGTTATGATGTTGTATATGTTTCCACATGGTATAGGGCAACATTTATATGTATACATAAGTTTGAAAAAATGTACTACTACTAGCTATTATGTTTTGTACTCTAATCTATTTTGTGTATATAAAACAATAATACCAATTGGCTCATGCCTGTTGAGTGCCCGGGGCGATAATACCCGACGCTTAGCCTTTATAAGCGGGAAAAAAAGCGGGATGATCAGAATCGATTATTCTATCCCGACTGATTGTTCTATCCCGGAGCTGTTTATAATATGATAAATCCTTATCTAACTACATGGGGATTGGGGCTTGTTACAGTTGCAGGGCAACTAGGTTTTATTAAACAAAATTTAGTTCTCTCGACATGAGACTAATATCTCCATGAATAAAAATCTAACCGACTATAGCTAAAATATTTGTAATCTCAGAAACATCTGCAGAGAAATCACCTACCCGTCCTCCTAGAACACCCAAGTCGTCTGGTAGCGGCTTCTTCAACTTCTTCAGTGGCTCAAAGAAGCCAGATGAGGAAGAGGATGCAGTCAAAAAGGAAGTGAAGCACGATGAGCCGGAAATAGAGGGAGGGCCTAAATCAAAAGGTTTGCCTCGAGGGATCATCTCAGTATGTGTCAAGTTAACGATAGCATCTTATTCTTAAAACATCTTCCATATTTTAGCCAATTGAATCAATGTAAATGCGCACAATTCGATTCTGTGCAAAATTGTAAAGTTTCAAAAAGGAAACAGGAGCTTGATACAAACTTATGTTGAAATGAAAATTATTAAATGTATGCTCAACACAAACAGGTATTTTAGAAAGGATATTTGGGAGTAGTGATGAGCCGAAGCCGAGTCCAACCCCTCCACCTAAACATATAGGACATCTAAAAAAGAAAAGATTGGCACCAGAACCTCCAACTAAAGGCCATGATAGGGTAATTATGTCTATGATAGTGCTATTTATAAAGCGAATGAATGCTACGACCAATTAACTGCTTTAAAAACAATTTTGCTTAAATTTTATAATTTTCTAAAGGAAGTCGTTAACAGTTTTAATGGTTAAAACTCATAAATTATTAAAATTCAAAAGCATTATGTCATTAAACTATCGATATAAATAGTTTATAAATAACTTTGATTAACTGAACCGAAAATCACACTATAGTAGAGGCTCTTACGGGCAAAAAGACGTGTTTTCTGCTACGAGTTTAGAGACCTAACCGCTAATTGGACACAATAGTATGATGTCTAAGGATCGATAATATGTTAAGAAGTATAAATTTGGCCTTATTAGTCACGTGCTATACCAATGCGCGTTTTAAACTTTGACAGTCTATTACTCTAAGGCAAATAAAGTAATTATATCCATATTTTGTCAGCAATAAGATCACATTATTTTCTATTTAGTGTGAAAATATGAGCTAGAACGGACATAATCTCGCTGAGTTATAGCTGTTTGAAATTTATGATGAACGCGCGGGTGCCAATTGATAACAACTAAATGCTTTTGCGCGTAGTGCGCGTCGAAAATTTGGCAAAAACGCTTGCGGAGTGACAATATTCAAACTTCGATTAAGTATATGAAGTGGGTACTTCTCGGAAAGGAAAAATTTAGGCAAACACGATGTGACTATTTTTGGGTTGATTTAATACAACTGCAAAAAATTATTCAAACTTAAAGCAAAAAAGTCAAAATTTTTACCACTTTTTTGGATTTTTACCTCAGAACAAATAGAGGGATTTGTTTTATTTTTATACAATCTTGTGCGGCTGTCTTTTAGCTATCTTTATGCAAGTTTTGCCGACATGCCAACAAAATTAACTTGCTCAAAATATCAAAAAACATGGTTTTTTGGCCTATTTTTGGCCCAAAAATCGGTTTTTTTGCGATTTTACCCCAGAACAATCAGTCCAATCATCTTGAAACCACTTTCAATCGATTCTACGGTCAAAAATACGTCTAGTAAGGTGTATCTGGGGTCCCTAACGTATCGAGCAGACAATGCCCGTAAGAGCCTCTACTACTATCCAAGTAAAGTAATAAATTGTTTTGAGTATACGTTGCTCGCATGAGTGGCAGTTCTGCAGTTTTGTCATACCTATAATGAATGTTTCAACAAGAACCCAGTTGGGGGCTATCTTTCTATATATAAAGCGAGACGATATATATATGGATCCGTGCCATTTTACTGACACCAAAGCATCAACGTTAACGCGACATTTCCCCAAGAACCGTAAAAGATATACAACTGAAACTTTTTTGACTGGGTCAAATGCTTTAATGGCCTTCAAATCAGCATGAAAAAAATAAAAAATTGGCCAAGGAATAAGAATTTTATTGCCCAAAATTTGGACCCCCAAGTGGTGTCAAAAACGCGAATTAAATAGGTATTATTATTTTAGTCTCTTGAGTCTTGACACGACTTTATAGTAGCTATAAACAGGATTAAACAGGATTAAACAAGATTAAACACAAATTTGTCAATGAGAGCCCTAACACTCACGTCTTGACTATACATCAATAGAGAAATAAATAAATAAATAATGTGCAAGAGTGTTCTTTAGATTAAATTTTGTTTAAATCATACAAATTTAACTTCGTCAAATCTTTGTCGAAAAAGAAACAAGTGCGAATAAAACAATTTAATTCCCATGAGCATGTTCCAAAATGATATGATATGATGATATGAATTAGTAACCGAATATATATAATTATAGGAGCAAAATAAAATTTCTGTACGGTGTGAACCGGGAATTTATTTATTTAACATCTGACCAGTCTATATTTTTCAGAAACAATCTGGACGTTATGAAAACGTCACACCCTCTGAAGAGGATAGAAAACCTATGGTTTGTGTTTTGCTAAACTTCGTCCTTTTATTTTATTTACATATTTTATCTTATTTAATTTTATCTTATTTACATATTGTATTTTATTTGCATATTTTATTTTATTTACATATTTTATTTTATTTACATATTTATAAACTACGCAAACCCTTCACTTTGGAAATAGATATTGAATGGATTCTTTAATTACTTTTCTCGCCCTATTTTACAAACATTTTATGCATTATTGATAATTATCAGGGCCGGTCGTTCACATATTACGTAATCAATATTTTAGCATTAATCAAGACCCAACCCCCCCCCCCCCCCCCCCCCTCTTAACAGCAATATTACGTAATCATCAATCATGACTTGACCCCCCCACTCTTGACTTTTTTCCCTAGAAAACGCTTTTCAATTTCTTTACGTTTCATGTTACCCTGATAATGCTATCATGATGAGCCGAAATCAATGTTATGGTAATAAACGACCAAACAGACCCCCCCCCCCCCCCCCCCCCGTTATCAATCGTAAGCATTTGGAAACCAGCCCCCGCCCCATCGACTGATTACGTAATATGTGAACGACCCCTTAGGAGAGATTGGATATATCAAAAATAAGCGTGGAGAGAGGAGCAATTGCTGAGGAGAAATCACGAAAAGAAATAGAAAGTGAAAATAAGCTTAGAGCCCTAAGGGATCAAGAAATAGCTGACAGAGAGTTTATAGAAAAAGAAACTGAGGCTAGGAGGAAGGAAGAGGATAAGCGAAAACGACGAGGTTTCTTGAAGCACGATCTTTATTTAATTCAAATAACACCCAGATTTATTTAAAATGATAATCAGACAGAATTGAATGATTGAACTTTTATATTTATCAAGTTGTTTTACATGAAATTAAATCACAAATACTAAGTGCTCAATTTATGATTTAAGCGAGTATAGACGCTAAGTCAGAACGAGAGAGACGACTAGTTGATGCTACTGATCGAGCCAGGGAAGCAAGAGCCAATGACAAGGTCATTAAGGGGGAACTTCCGACTATGGAAAGGTATTACTATTAGATAATAGATATACCCTCGATTATTTAAATGAAAGTGTCATACGAATATAATTTATGTTGGGGAAGTTGAATCTTGCTGTTTAGTGTTTACGATATAACCAACTATAGCCAAGTCAGTAGCAGAATAATTGGAAATAAGTTGTTTATTAAATAAGTTCAAATTAATGACCATCTTGTGACATTTAAATCGGCAACATAATTAAATTGAAATGTAGCTCATAACCTCATGCTAAACCAGCATTTTATAACATTAACATTAACATAGCTTATAAAGTTAACGCTGGTTTGATCACTTGCTGAGCGATAAATACAATTTTCTATTTTACAGTTGGAAGGAGGAAGAGCGACTGAGGAAGCAAAGCTATGAAAAAAGGAAAAAGTACCAAGAAGAACAGGTTCGAACTATATTATGACAATTTCTTTTCTCGTACCTTAATGTGTCTTACCGCATGACCGAAAGGGAAACTTGAAGCAACTATAATGACGGCGCGAATATAGCAAACCCAATAACCAAACTGTATCACTTCTTGACATCATGACTTCACGCTCAGACACACTTAAAGCGAGAGTTCGCGGTACAAGAAGCTCGGGAAGCTCGCGAGAAACTGGAACGAGAAGAAGCTGCGCGACGAGCTGCCCAAGAAAAAGATCAAATAGATTCACTGGAACAAGAGCTGGCAACTCCCCGACACGTGTCTGGGGAAAGAGGGTTATTTGCGGAGGTGTCACCTGACACTGCTGATGCTCAAAGACAGGGTGAGTCTGACATGAGATTTAGAATTAGCGTCAAGTAATAGTATTTGACCTCGCTCTCCATGACAAAGATGAAGTTGTTATCCACGTCTAAAATTTTATCAGGTTACGCCAAACAGCGTCAGGGTCCATAAATAACAATTTAACGGACACATAATTTAAGAAAGGAGAGGTCTCCCATTAAGGTCATTATCCCTTTTTTGGTGGGCAGCACTGTTCCTCTCCACAGGTCTATCATCACGGGAAAGGAAAGCAAGTGGTGAGGTATTCAGGAAGCAACACGATAGTCTTGATCACGTCAGAGAAGATTTATTGAGACAGGAGGGGTTCGCTTTGGAGGTTGCTCCACAAGGTTTATATTTAAGTTGCTCCACCACCTCCGGTCCTGCATCTTAGCCTACGTCAGTTATGTATTTTCATTTGTCTCCCCACTGGCAATTTCAGATAATTGAAACTGCAATTCTAATTCTATAAGTCATGTCATCAATATTCAAGGATACACTATTTATATTCATACCAATACTGCTGTTGACGGACCTCGTGACCGGCCTTTTGTTCTGAAGATAGAGACTATAAGAATCCCTCTTTCACCATGAAGCTGAATTCTCTGAGTCTCTATTTTCAGGAGAATTGGACGAGGCAGCAACAAAAATTCAATCTGCAATAAGGGCAGCACAAATCAGACAAGCTCTCAAACAGCAAGGTTCTAAATTATTAAATTAGATGACAGTAACTATTGCAAGATGAATAACATATTTGTGCTCACAATTCGTCAGAAATGTTCATCAAATCTACAATATATTCACTAATAAATAATGGCATTTCATTGCTCCTATTAGTATTTCTTTTTTGAAATATAGATAGGAGAGTGCATGACCGTCATATAAATATTAACAAATCAAACTCTAGTAGAGGAAACGGAGGAAGAAGACGATGAAGAATCAGAGGAATCAGAAGACGAGGAATCTGAGTATGAAGAAGCTGAAGAAGATGCAACTGAAGCGGCGGAAGAGGTGGAGGAGGCGGCGGAGATGGAGGAGGCGGCAGTGCTGGCCGCCCCAGAGCCTCCTGTTCACGGTTAGTACGATACGTTTGAATATAAACTACCGGTCTACCCTGTAGGTGCCTAACCCTTTACTCATTTAGTCGATTTAAATTTAATGATTTATCCGATGATACTCCCAGACATTTTTTTCACAGAATATATCATCTTGATAATTATATAATAATAATAATGTATCATCTTAGACTTAACATTCCTAACATGCTTTATATTCTACAGAAACTATGTATATCAATATGTAACTCTTTAAACACAATTTCACTACAGAGCCCGAGGAGCAACATAACCCATGGGAGTTTGATATAGAAGAGCGATCACAGAGGTCCTCCAGACAAAACTCAGTCTCTTCAAGGAAAAAGAGGACCAGCGTCTTCAAACGGAAATAAGAATTAAAATGCACTCTTGGACTGAAGTTTAGTCTATCTCAGATGTAGCAGGCGATCGCCCAAATGACATTTTAAAAGCATCAATGTTCTCCTAGAAATAGAACTCCTAAATAGACAATATTAAATCCCTAGTGAAAGTGGAATGATCGACTGTGCTGCGATGGAATCGCTCAACCCCTTGGCGTTAAATGAGATGAAATGAGATAATGTTATATACATGGCACCATGGACGAACCAGTACCATGTCAGAATCAGTCAGACGAACAATGTTTGTTAATATGAAACTTTCGTAGATGTTTTGATCACGCCTATAGTTCCCCGCTCCCCAATTCTTCTAATGAAGTTGGTGCTTTTTGCGTGGCCATATTACTAGAAATGTTATTGGAAATGTCACGTGATTCTGGATACACATCATTTTGAAAGTAATTACTACATTTTTGTTGGACCAGTTTTTGCAACTTTGTTAAATGAAAAATTAAAAAGACTTTCTTCATCATGTGCCAGGAGCAAAAGTGGGCAAATATATACATTATACATGAACTTCAAATAAAAAAAGTTATTTACAATATCTTATAAAATTCATGACATCAGTGTATTACATGAACATCTGTCCTTGTATCCTTTTTCTGGGTTATCAATCTGATTCTGAGTTGTATTTACATGAGTAATAAGTGCAGATCTCCTTTTGCAAAATGTGGATATTGCTGACCATGAGCTCCCTCTTTAAAACAGGGATAACACAATTTTTATCGCGTTTTTTTTGGGATCCAATCCTAATCACTAACTGACAATCGCTCTGAAAAAATCCAAACGGATTGGCTGATTTAACTGACCGTGTCTTTGATCACGAGGTATACTACTACATCACATAAAGTATACTGTGACGTGGGAATGTGACGACGTGACGTCACGGACTCACGTGAAGTAGTGTGTGACGTCACGTGAGGGAATGTGACGTCACGTGAGGAATTCAAATGTGACGTCACGCTAGGTAGGTTTTGATTTGTTACGTCACGAGAGAAAATGTGACGCCGAGTAGCATCTCGCAAAGTTCTTTTCATCATGTAACACTTGCCACCTTTTCAACCTGAAATATATAAAATTATGAACAACAAATTTATAAACGGTTTCAAGAATAACAACTGTCTTAACGTTTCCGGATTTCCGTACTTAAAAAGCAAAATGGATTTCATTTCCAAAACCTGATAGGTTTTCACACGAGAAAATAAAACCTTGCGTTTGAACAAAGACAATTAAAAACTAACCTTACTGACTTTAATACTACTTGGAGGCGACACAATAGGAGCAAGACGTTGTCTCGAGTTGGAGGTTGAGACAAACCCGCTAGTGTACCCAGATCGGAGCGGGGGCAGGTTGTCGCTGGTCGTCAAACTTATCTCCTCACTCTGCGAGGTGGTGAGTTAGTTGTTGTAAACGTGGTATTATACTATACTATAGGTGGTTGCTAAGAGTAAGGATTATAGCAACTGTCTAAGCAATTATTGGTCTTAAGATAGAATGATATGTTTTTGGATTGATGATGGTGTATTAACATTATTTTGTGCATTACAATGAGAATAAATAAAATTTGCAGTTGTATTTTAAATTAGTTTAGAGTAGTTAAATTGGCAGAAGAAAACACAAACAGTCAAGAACAGGGACAAATATAATTTATGTTGTCAAAATTGTAATTTGTATCACACAACTGTTAATTTTACCACTTGCACCCACCTTATAATCACTGTTGATGGACAAGAACTCCGCAGTACTTGTAGCATTAGACTTAGGACGGAAGCTACCATTACTTTTAGAGGGTCTCACCACGACAAAGGATTTGATTGTTTTGCTGGAGTTTCTGGAGTCGGCAGGCTGGGAGACTGTGTTGCGAGCTACTGTTATCCTGGAAGTACGGGGGTGAGTGACGTAAAAGTACGGTAAGTTTAAATGTCGCATTTTAATGAATTTATGAGGCTTAAATTTTGGAGAAATAACTTTCAATGACAATATCCGACAAAAAGTAATTTTCGAACATAATTCAACGTCTGGAGTCCAGACGTTGAATTATGTTCGAAAATTACTTTTTCTGGACAAAGATTATGAGCAAAGTTCAAATAGACAATCGTAGAAAGATTCGTGGAACAGTAGGTTGAAACGAGCAAGATCTATTATAGTGAAGTTTAACCTGTTGCAGTCCATCTCCAATAGTTTAGGGATATCAGGAGTCCAGTCCTGAAGAGGAGCTGTCCTAGAGGCTCCAACCGACCAAGTGGACCCAGCATCAGGGTCCTGAGGTTGCTCCATGTTCTCCAGGTCCATACTTCCCTCAGTGGGCCGGGTTTGCTGGACAAAGGTTGGGGTTTTCCTTGTTTGGTTCTTGTTGAGAGTGTGGGCTTTGTAGGCTATGTAGGGTTTTATCAGGAAGATACCGGACTGATGTTCCAATCTGTCCAATTGTTTAGTCAGTAGGTATGCCAAGTCTTCTCTTTCTACAGCTAGATCGTCCATCTCAACTCCGTATCTAAGTGAGAGCAAAATAATGAAAAACAATTATATCTATTGTCTACTCATAACATGACAAAGTTTTGAGAGAGATAACATTTGAGCTGTGAACGTTTTGAAATTTGCATATCCATCTTCAGTTATATGAGCAGATACCTGTTCTTTCTCAGCAGGAACAGTTCGTCAAGTCTGGTGAGAACATCGTCTATATCCTCGTTAACTGGCCTGTTCATCTGTATATTCTCTGTGAAGAAGTGAACAAGTTATTCTCGGCTTAGCCTTGCTCTTTGAAATTTCAAACAGGAGTTCTCCATTCTCCAAGTTAGGTACACTAACATTATTCAAGTCTAAGTTAATCTTTTGTTGTGCATGAACCGGAACATTATGCTGTTAAATTAAGAGCGTGCATTAATAATAATAGCTCATAAGTGACATGACAAAAATGTTGATCATAAGGACAGTAGTCACTAGTCACTTCGCTACACGTGATTCCAAATTTGTCACTAATTGACTAATTGGTCATTAATGTAGTTACTTATTAATTCAATGTTAGATCCGACGTACCCTCCATGATCTGCATCCTAGCATGAGATATGTAATGTTTAGCAAGGTGTTGTAACCTCTTCTGTGGTATGTTCGTGTAATCGTTCATCATTGCGACCACCTCCTGCAAAAACGAGCATATTATAAATACGATAACGTCATACAATAAATGACTTCGTAAGTAATGCCACTATGTTCGTTCTTAGAATGTTATACATCGCTGGTGGCGTTATTGGTATGATTTCTTTTCGATAAAGTTAAACAGACGAATAATGCTCTCTATATAAATTATAATCAAAATTCACCCAAGTACTATGATATAATACTGTTATATCGTTATACTATTACATCGTTACACTTTAAGTAAATCTATTCAATCGAGTTTGACCTCATCACTAGTAGCTCTGATTTGACTTTTCTTCTTTGTCATTCTTTAGTTACAAATTTTAAGCTAACTTCACAATGAACGAGTATTAAAACTTAACACTGTCTTATGAAACAAAAGCCAGAACTACAAAAAGACAAGCAATCGACCTCAACACTTTACCTGAATGAGATCCCCACTTAAAGCTAGCACGATATATTATAACGGATAAATATTTAATAAAGAAATTAAATATCGTGAGAAATCTCGAGAACTTCACGACACAATACTACAATATGTTTGTCTTGAAGCTGAGTGATGACACAGCTTATCGATATTTGTTGGTCGTGCAGCTGTGTTCAGGATAAATATCTTTTTCGATAAGCTGTGCTATTAACAAATAAATGAAGATGCATGATGAAAAATAAAAATGGTGTTAAAAGCTATCGGCAGTTTATCGACATAAACACAGTCGGGCCCTGATATGGATATTAAAATATCCAAGAGATGAATTTTAATATCTGTTCTGCAGAAGATGGTTAAGACTTAGGCGCAGGTGCACTGAAGCTTAGCCATAAGTGATACGAGCGGTTAAGATGGTCAGGTTAACATGGTCGGGTGCCGTGAAAACCACCATTCTTATTAAACCTCATTCTTATCAAACCTCATTCTTATTAAACCTCATCCATACTATATACTCTTATACCAATAAAATGTAAATGTCGCATGGTTTGGCATCTGATTTGTGATGCAATAGATTAATAAGATTTGTACATGTATCAACTTAAGCGAGACGAAACATTTAGGAACGGCCATACAATCGTTAGAGTAATAAACCCAATCACAATATATAATAATGGTATTTTGTGAATTAACACTTAATCACAGACTTGTTGGAGATACTAGATATCTTGGACTGAGCGATCGCCGATCTTGCTCGAAGCCTACCCAAGGTAACCATTACTTAACCAAGGTAGGTACTTACAAAACAATCAGTTCAGCTGATAAAACGGGCCATGCTAAACCTGAAGGGAGGGTATTACCTCGTTAGTGTTTAAATATCGAGTATTTACCTCGTATTGTTTTGGTGTTATCTTGTGGTTGAGAACAGCCTGTTTAAGAGATCTCTTGTTGTGTTCCAGATCTGTGAAGGCAAACATTGCTGTGTACTGGGCTGGAGGTCTCCGCATCTTGCCCTGCAACAACACGTGTCAAACAAAGCACACCAACCAAGTGAGAGTCTCCACTTAGTGTAGATTCTCACTTCGTCCCCGACAATCAAATATTATCGACCCACTCACAATTGTGAAAAAATATACCTATTAAATCACATGAACGTACAAAGAGGCGGCGCTAATATTTGCACAAGCATGAGACAAACAATAAGGACAAACAAATAAGAGGTGATTTATTAAAATAGATCAAAGATACTATTAGTATCAGTGACACTAGAAGTCACTATTATTAGTGACACTAGTAGTCACTAGTATTAGTATAAGTGACACTAGCTGCAGTCACTAGTATATTTAGTGACAGGACGGGAAGTTACCTGAACAGGCTCAGCGGGAGGTTTGAAGGGTTTGAACTTGTTTATTGGAGAAGTGGCGCGGTCACACTGGGCAACTGATCTGCGGGGATTGGAGTTGGAAGTTAGAAAATAGGTTGGGTTGTAAAATGTTTTATTCTGTGCAAAAAAATTGAAAACTGTGATTATCTGTATGTTGTTAAAATCTAGCTTTATTTAAATAGAAAGAAAGCTGAATTATTAGCGCTTGTTACAATGAATCTGACTAAAATAGATAAGCTCACCTCTGCCTTGATTTGGGCGGTGATCTGTTCACTGGTGACCAGGTTAGTTGTTCTATCTTGCCACGTTCCTGTTTTATAATTATATCATTACTAAAGTTGAGAAAGTTATTTTTCATCATTTTAATGTTCGCCAATATTTGTAGTGTCGGATTGATCAAATTCGATTTAGGCTTCATCAGGTTTTAAATCGTCTAGTAACAAAAGTTGTAACAAAAGTTGGGGACTGCGTTGTTTAAAACAGGGCTACTCTAAGTCATTCTCATGGCTATTCAAAATTATCAACAAATTTAATTTGAAAAGAAAAACCACAAACACCGAGCTTGCTAAAAAATTGACAAATTAAACAAATTGAAATGGTCAAATGTCACAAAACCACAGAAAACCTTGCTGAGCTTTTTGAAAATCTTGTGAACCGTTTTCTCCGAACTATGCATAACTGAAAATGCAGATATGTATGTTAAAACATTCAAATTATTCAAAGCACACGTACTGTTAGTTTAAAACATACCTACCATCCGAAATCAAAATCCTGCTTGTTCCCAAAACAGCAACATCTGCTTTACGATATAATTAACTGCAAAACAATAAGCAAATTGATATGGATGTGGACGATACCTATACTTATAGAGACTGCTAAAAATAAAATGGTCAACGAAATGTAATACGATATCAGGTGAATTTGAACCTGTTCAAATTTACAGGCCTGTAAACGAGATGATATATTATGTGTAGTGTAGAAGCACACTTTTGATCGGTCTAATTAAATAATTAATTAAACAAATCGATCTCGTTACATAATTTATTCATTCAAGAGTAAAATAACCGGTGAAAGTAAGCTAATCTTAACTTTTGTGACATTCGAAAATTCTCTCTAAAATTGTTACTGAAATCACCGTTATAAATTTCCTCAGCCTATTAGTGTCTATTTAGTGTTGCCGCCTATCAAAGTACATGTAAATGTTTATATAGTGATGCTCTGTGCTTTTATCTTTTTATCATCGAAAACATCTTAAGTTGCCGAAATTCAAATAAATTTGCCGATCAATTGTGTTTAAACCATACGAAGGTCTTTCGAATCCATCCATCGATAATATCGATGGATTCGAAAGACCTTCGTATCGGGGTGGCCAGCCACACCTGTTTTTCTAAATTACTCTGAATCTCTAAAACAACAGAAAAAAAAGATAAGAACAGTTTGATAGTTGGATCGCTTGCACTCTTGCAGGCAAAAAGCCAAATTTTTGATACTCTGACACTTGTGGTCATAGCAAAACATAATTTGTTGTGCCAATCTTCGGGGGCTAAAGCGATTCCAGAAGCAAAGTTTCGCCGCGAATCAAATGTTTACCATCCATATGGTCCAGACTCCAGATTTCAATACTGTACGGTATTTTGTTGATTGCGAGTGTCTCAATACAGTGTCCGTAAGCCGCCTAGGTTAAGAAACAGTGGTTTACGAAGGGGGAGGGGTTCAAAATGGTAAAAACTCAAAATTCGCCTTAAGTATAATTAATATAATTGGTAGACCAAAAATTATCTGAAAAAAAAATCAGCAGTAAAAGGAAAAAGGAAAGAGTTCAAAGAACTTCAAATAATGAACAAAATTTAAAGTAAATCTAAAGTTTAAAATGTGTTGTGTGCTCCTTAGCCTTTGACGGACGGACGGTTTAGCCACAGCTGGCGTAAAATGCCTCAAAACCATCTTGCCTCCTCGCATATTTTATATCAGTCATATCTAAACAATCATTATGATTGAAAATTCCTGACATGCAGAGGAGCTGACGATTTGACCAGATTTAAATAATGGACCGTTCACGTTCATCACAACACGCTTTGTTGGAGCAAGACCGCGTTTGTTTACAGTCAATAAAGTTATTGATGGCTGTAAATTTATAGACTATATTCAAAGGGAATTTGCATCTGAAAAGTTTATTGATAATCATGAATTGAGGCGATGCACGTGATGACTATAAACAAATCAGTGCCTGACACAAATACTTGAAAATGGGTCACGTGTGCGAGAATCGTCCAGTTGGTAAGTTACCGGTGCAACATCAATAGGGAATTTTATCGTGTTATGATAACAGGAAGGAGGTATTTAAATAGCAGTTATCAATAACGATCTGATTTTATGAATCATTTGTAATCCTGACCGTTCCAGAGCTTTTTGTCGTTCAGTTTGCAAAATATCTGTTTATTTTGAAATTTACTGTTTTAAGTATGAGTAGTAAAATCCAAAGAAATTTGTATCACAGAAAATTCCAAAATTGAAGTGTACCTTGTGCGATACTGTTCTGGATGCCCTCGATTTGCTCGTGTATATTACCATCTTTTGCAAAATCTACAGTGTTTATCTGCTCCAGCGACCTCATCATCAACATGGTTTCTAGAAATAGGGTAAATAATGAGTATTCCTCAATGATCAAAACTAATTCAACAACAATATCAACTCCTAAAAGAAATGACATGCAGTAAAAAGTAATGTCATTATGTAAAGGGGTGCACTTACCCGTCTCATCAATAACCCCCATACCCTGTATCTCTACCAGTATCTCAACAAGCTTCTCTTTGAAGTCGGTCACGTGATCATACATTGTGATTACCTGCATTTTAAGGAAGCTTTGAACAAAACTGAGTCAAAATTCATATTTTCTATAATATACTTTGTTGTAACTTGTATGGAAAGCATTAATACAGTCGCTAAATTTCTGGAGGAAATAAATACAAATTCAGTTAGAAATTAATTAGTTTCCTATACCTGAGTAATGACAGGGTTGTCAGGTCCAGGAGTGAGGGTGTTTCTGTAGGCAGTGGTAGGTCTCCCTGGTACCTTTACCTGTACTGCCTCTATACCACCGTCCTGGGGGGGGTGCAGGAGTGTTTAACACATACGTCTCAGAGTCTATGTAGTGCAATTTGGTTTGAAGTCTAAGTTGAGAAATTTGCCACAATGATCTCATAGTGACAATATGATGATTGATTCAAATTTGTAAATAAAATAACTTCATCAAGCAACACCTTAATTCTTTAATTCCCTTCCACACACATACCTTTAAAAGTTTAAAGATGTATCATTGTTAATGAACTTGAAGAATGGTGTATGTACAATCAATGATCACTAAGATGTAGTATTTGATGATTCAATGTTTTATTTCGACATTATAAAATATGATAAGGTGACCTTTGACTCAAAGAAAAATCTCATATTCAATTATATTAACCGATATTCATTTATCATATTAACCGATGGATTGGTGAGTAATGGTGGAGTGGTAGGAGAGTTAGAATTAACCCAAGTATCAGGGACACGAATGACTACTCCAGGATTTAAGAATGGTGGAGTGGTATATGTTGAATTGGTGGTTGGTGATGTGGGAGATAAAGATGTTGTACTACAAATGGGTGAAAGAGCGAGACTCCAGAATGACGCCGTTTTTGGAATACCCTGAAATCAGAGACTTTTTGATGAATCAATGATTGTATTTCCTTCGTTTTGTCATACAAACCAGTGGGTAAAGTACATTAAACTTCAATTTACTATCTAATTATCTTATTTATTATCTAATTAATTATCTAATTAAAACTATAACATCTACCTTCTCTTCCTCAGACTCCTGGCTGCCAATAAGAGAGGGTGTATCCAGGATCACCTCCTCCTTCAGCACCCCTGAGTCCCGTTTCTTCAGCATCTCGTTCAACTTGTGGGTCTGCTCTAGAGCATCTGATTCCATTTCAGCTACCATCTTACGGAAACTCTCCACCTGAACGAACACGTGATATAAATTTAACTATAGGTTATAGGATCACGGGATTAAAGTGGTTCAGACTCTCAGCCCAATACATACCATAATGTTTACCAATGCTCTCCGCATAAAAAAACAGGTTGAATGAAAATTTTGAATGCTCTGATCAGTGATAAATTTGTAAAGTGGATTAGAATTTCAATAGGAAGATAGTTACAGCTGTTACATCTATTCCAACTCAGACAACTTTAACCTGACTTTATGAAGGTTCTAACCTTATCCTCAAGGGAAGTTTTCTCGTGTAACCACTCATCTTTAGCTTGCATCAACTCGTTGGTCAGCTCTTCTATCTTCCACGAGTTCTGGGTATACTGGGTAGTCAGTGTGAGTCCTGGGGTTTTATGTAAGTATGTAGTGCATATTCACGTGTTGTAGTGCATATTCACGTGTTGTAGTGCATATTCACGTCTTGTAGTACATATTCACGTGTTGTAGTGCATATTCACGTGTTGTAATACATATTCACGTGTTGTAGTGCATATTCACGTGTTGTAGTACATATTCACGTGTTGTAGTAGATATTCACGTGTTGTAGTGCATATTCACGTGTTGTAGTGCATATTCACGTGTTGTAGTACATATTCACGTGTTGTAGTGCATATTCACGTGTTGTAGTACATATTCACGTGTTGTAGTACATATTCACGTGTTGTAGTGCATATTCACGTGTTGTAGTACATATTCACGTGTTGTAGTGCATATTCACGTGTTGTAGTACATATTCACGTGTTGTAGTGCATATTCACGTGTTGTAGTACATATTCACGTGTTGTAGTACATATTCACGTGTTGTAGTGCATATTCACGTGTTGTAGTACATATTCACGTGCTGTACTAGTGCATATTTTCACGTGAAGTGAAAGTACAAAACCTTCTCTCAAGCTACTGTGATCCTAATTTAATCATTATCTAATCATTGTCCTAATATAATTCTGAACCTCTTCATCGTTTCTAGCCATCTCCTCCTCTACAGCAATCCTCTTCTTCTCATACTCATCCTCAAGTTCCTTGTACTTCTTGTTCAGTGCTTCTGTTGGGTCCACTGACACTGCTGAGGTGGTCTGAAAAACACAATCTGTCAGTGATAGGTCAAGCATGTTGCATGTTAGGCATGTGGCATGTTAAGCAACAGAGACTAATGAGTCTATACTAGTAGCATATTATATAGAGGCTGCAGGAGCCTTTACATGATTAAATGAGAGTAGAGTACGTGTGGCGATGACTAGAATCCATAAAGACACTCTGTCAGTCGTCACGCTAGCGATTTAACAAATGCTACCTCTAACTTCTAGAGGAATAAAAAATATTTTATTATATTCAGTTCGCTATAAAATTCCCTATAATAAGTTGTGACATTTTGGCACTTGTCATCACTTCAAGTCTTAACTTAAAGTTAAACAATTTTATTAATGATACATATCTGCAGCAGTTGTTGCGCGATCTTTTAAGTTTTATATAGCTATTGTTTGATCGTGCCGTGAAAGAACTGTTTCATTCAATGCAGATAAATTCGTACCAACTACCAACGTATGATACAAACTGAACATGCACACACATTTTTCTAAAGAAAGTTGCGGGAACAGAAAATTATAAGCGCCGTCTTAAACTCGAATTTCCAGTTTTAATTTTTGGGGCTGTTAAGTTCGCCCAAAAATTTTAAAACAATACGTCAATTTCAAAGGTATGGGGCATGGGCACGCACAGAACTAGCACGTATTTATGGCGAATTCAACAGCAAAAAAAAAGCTGAAAGCGGAAATTGGCAAACTACACTAGTATTTTTTGTTTAAACCAGGAATACGACTTTTTTTATAAAAATGTAGCGCATTTAACAACACTGGTTTTATAAATAGTCACACTCACAATAAAAAGATCTGTCCCCATATCAAGCTTGTATATAAGCCCATCCCGAGGCCGGGTAACTTGCATTTTGCTGTCAGGAGCTATACTCGGGAGCGACATCCCACTGTCGGTACCCAATGTCTACCAATCTTACAGATTCCTTGATTAATTGACTTATAATCAGGGGAGTCTTCAGAAACGTAAAAAGAATTACCGAACAATGAAAACAGGCCATTGATCGTAAATCATCCCAGAGATTTGGATGCCAAGGGAGATTTAACTCTAAAGAGTTCTTGAATATATAAAACTGTTAACATATTTTTATCGATACAACGAAACGTGGAACCTGGCCTCGAAAGATTTTAAGAGGTTTTACAACGTTTCGTGACGATTTATCCTTCGCCGTTTTATATAACAACGTTTTTCACCCAACAATCTATGTTTTAAACGTGATTTTACATCCAAAACTAACCGTAACCTTAACTTTATTCCGATCTCTTACCCAAACCAAAAGCCTGGCTCAATCTGAAACCCAAAACCCAACCATGACTCTATTCTCATCGCCGCTAACCATCGCCGCTAACCATCGCCGCTAACCAGAAGCCAAACCGATCTCCAAACCTAATCCTTACCACAACCCTAACACAATCCTAAACCCAAACCTTAACATCATGACGTTTAAAATGACAGATGCTAAAGTGTCGAGGTAGGGTATGTACAGACTAATAGATCATATCAGAAGATATCATAATGTTCAAGTACAAACTATTACAGCGAACTGATAATATTACTCGAGCTAAGAATGCCAATCTTCAGTACTGCTCTCTCGACATGCAGTTTTTTCTTTTCCAATCTCAATGATTATAAACAGTGTTAATCATACAATTTAACAAGAAGCAAGGAAAACCAACGATAACATTAAATACATCCACTGCAAATGTGAACCACCACAAACAGAGGCACAGAGCGGACAGATCAGCAAGTTGTGAGAATATTTAAAGTTTTTAACTTGTCCCGAGTTGTAACCACACTAATTGTAAGAGCGGCAGTAAACGAGAGTTTCGGAGAGTAGATGATAAAGTATCTCTCAATCCTGCAGCTTGTGCCAGCACACGTGTGTCATCTTCTGATATCTATCTAGTTTCTGGAAGTCACATGACAGATGATGGACCGATATATTTGTCACGTGCGGGGTGTGAACCGATTAAATGCGAGCACGTGGTCGACCACAGCCAATCAAGAAGAAGCTTGCCTGAAGGTGTCATCAAGTCATCTGTAAAAGTGAATGCTTGCTATCAAGAGAGATTTGAACACTAAGTCACGTTTGAGAGTGTTAGCTGTGGTTTCGTCGAGATTTTGTTATGGCTCACCGCTCAAGAACCATTATTGAAAACGTTTTGTTGTGGCTGAAAAACCACGATTCACGACGATGAAAACCTGATTGTTACATTAAAAACGCATCAGGTAATTCGTTGCCATCGCCCTCCGCTGTTAGATTTTTTTAAAAGATGTTTTTTATTCTACTTTTTCCGAAAAGACTTTGATTATTTTTTTTTAAGAAAAGCGTTTGATAAGCTATGAAGTTGCATTTGCAGATATTAAAAATACTGCAGTTGTTGGCCAAATACCGACAAACTGCGAAAGAAGTATGCATGTTGCAGAGTTGTACCTGGCTAAAACATACGGTTCTTTGCGATAGTCAAAATTGTGCGCGACAACTAGCGCTGGATACGACAACTAGCGCTGGATGGCGACATCTAGCGCTGGATAGCGCTAGTTGTCGCCATCCAGCGCTAGTTGTCGCGTTTTGACTATCGCAAAAGAACCAAACATACTGCGTACCAAGCTAAAAAGTATTACGTACATTAGTTGACTATTTAATACATAGCTTTGTCTAAACGGCTGTTGCTATGTGATACTGAATATCTTACTATAACATATTACGTACAACATAGTTGATTATTAAATATATTGCTTTATCTTCTCTAAGAATCACATAATTATTAATGTTGAAAGCCTGCATATTATAGAATGCCAATGTAATTGGTGCACCTAAGTTTCTTTTCAGAGCTATGATTATTATCAATAATAATCAAACTATATTCAAGTTAGTTATATTAACTTAATATTAACTTAAAGCATTCACAAATAGTTATCAAAAGGTAAAATTGGGGAACAAACAATTTAAGAGTCCGGTACAATATTTAATTGGGTGTTTCATAAATAATTTCCCGATTTAAAAAACAATACAAAAATGTATAAAGGAGCAATAAATGAGTATACTTACACGTTCAGATATAGTTGCTGGTACCACCGTCTCAGGAGAGGGTTCAGGTGTAGGTGTGGGTACGGGAGTGGGCTCCACAATCGGCCTGTTTAGATAATTCATATTCAATTAATAAATTATTGATAAATTGTTTTTCAATAATTAGGAGGATGAATAGATAGATTTGTGGTTGATGCTATCTTTATTATTATCTATGGATAATTTAAATTGGCCGACTGATTTTCATTACACGTTTTTAAACATAAAAATAAGTTCATGCAAATCTTTCATTGTAACTACAGGCGAGTCTACTCCCTTGGTGTTTGTGATCATGACGACAGGTTAGATTGTATGGGTAACGACATAAACTAAAAAACTATTTTAATCTTATCTCTTAAAATGTAGCAGATAATCATGCTGTTCAGCCTACTGACTCGTGTTCGGAGCTGCAGCTCGCCACCGAGTCTGCACTGTATTTTAAATAAACATATTTTTATATTTTTATACATATTTATATATTTTTTTGAATATTTTAAATAAATATTATACGGGTACCATACGTTAAATCATTTTACTACAATTAAGTTATTCATTAACAGATCTTCATGCTAACTTACAAAAACATTTTACTTCGCTTCATCAGGAGTTTCTCGTACGAACTAAATGTTTGCAGATAAAAAGCCAAGTATTGTTCGAGTTTTAATACTTTCAACACTACTATACAACAAATAATTTGAGAACATGAACATGATGTAGTTACATTGAAAAGTTTTCTTTACCTGAAAAGAGCATTTTTCCTTGGTCGCATATACGGAATTATCAGAAATTTTCATCAGAAACAAACCAAATAGTAATGCCATTAAGATAAAATGACTTTATAATATACAGGTCATGTGACTGTTGTATTCAAGTTGTTATGACGTGATGATTTGATTAGAATTTTTCATCAAATGTGGTATTTTCTGATCACGTGACACATATCTAGCGATTAGACGATGATAACGTAAATGTAAATAGTGATGCTCAGTCATTCTTTCGAATTGCTTCTTAAAATCAGCGTCTTTTTTCTGATGTTAATCAATCTCCAAAATAAGAAGTTATCTGATTTAGCAGTATTGAGTTTAGTTAAGAACACTCAAGATAAACCAAATTTATCCGGTAACTTGCAACTTTCTTTATCTTTAGTGAATCATCATTGTGTTTCACACTTACAAGAAGCTAAAAATAGATTGTAAAGAATGTCACGTACCGTGTTGTCTCCGATAACCTGCTCTCCAGATCCTCTATCTGAAATATCAAGATAAAGTCTACTTTCAGGATGACAAGAATCAATCCCAGGTATTAATCTAGTGGTGAAACTGTGGACTAAATGGGAGGGGGAGGGGATAAAATTGTAAACCAGCATCCCCGCGCCCTTTATCAATGTCGGATCAGTATCAAGATTTTAAGTGAACAATTCTACGAGAACACCAAACTTTTCACTAACATATTATCACTGTAACTTATGAAGTTTAAAATAGCTCACCGTCTCCTCCTGTACTACGAGTTTCTCCTGTAATTCCCCAAGCTGCTGCTCAAACTCTTCGTTCTTTCGCTCCATCGTCTCCTCGAACTCGTCTTCTAGCCCTGCTCTTGCAACTGAAACACCCAGTTTAGAAATGGACAGTGAAAGTGATAGGGAGTAGGGATTTAACTCTTTAGCTACACTAAAATGTGGGAGCTGTTTAAAGATGGATAAAAATATAATTCACAATAATATCTCAAATGAAAGAAAGAGGGATATCCTTGTTTACACACTATTACAAACAGTAAATATTTCACAGAAAATGTTATCCATATCCTCATTTCTTTATTTTTCTTTTCTTACTCCATAATGATAGTTCTTCTAATCGAGCCAGCTGCAAAGATGACAAACGATCTCAGAAGACAAGCGCGAGTCCCATAATTATTCCGCTGTATTATCACTCCTTCTACACTTACTTACTAAATACTAACGATATTTACCAGTTACCTTACTAACGATATTTACCAATATGTTGAGCTTGGTAGTTGGTATGTGTCACCTAGCTACACTAATGTTCGGGCACTAATGATCCATGAGATGTCAAGCTTAGGCTGGTTTTCTGTACCATTATCACGTTGAAGCAGAGCCTGTCTCTCTCTCTCTCTCTCTCTCTCTCTCTCTCTCTCTCTCTCTCTCTCTCTCTCTCTCTCTCTCTCTCTCTCTCTCTCTCTCTCTCTCTCTCTCTCTCTCTCTCTCTCTCTCTCTCTCTCTCTCTCTCTCTCTCTCTCTCTCTCTCTCTCTCTCTCTCTCTCTCTCTCTCTCTCTCTCTCTCTCTCTCTCTCTCTCTCTCTCTCTCTCTCTCTCTCTCTCTCTCTCTCTCTCTCTCTCTCTCTCTCTCTCTCTCTCTCTCTCTCTCTCTCTCTCTCTCTCTCTCTCTCTCTCTCTCTCTCTCTCTCTCTCTCTCTCTCTCTCTCTCTCTCTCTCTCTCTCTCTCTCCTCTCTCTCTCTCTCTCTCTCTCTCTCTCTCTCTCTCTCTCTCTCTCTCTCTCTCTCTCTCTCTCTCTCTCTCTCTCTCTCTCTCTCTCTCTCTCTCTCTCTCTCTCTCTCTCTCTCTCTCTCTCTCTCTCTATCTCTCTCTCTCTCTCTCTCTCTCTCTCTCTCTCTCTCTCTCTCTCTCTCTCTCTACTCTAATAGTAACACACAGTTATTTTCACCTGTCAGGCAATGTTGAATGATAAATGTTGATATTAGCCCTGGAGACCTCAACATCCTAATTGTGCTCTTCTTTACCTCCCTACCAAATACATTCTGAAGCAAACTGGTCAGCTATCTTAGCCGAAAGTATGACCTAGCCTGTTTGATAACACTAAATGCAAGCTGGATAACACTAGACCTGGTTTTCTGTACCATTACCCCATTACCCCATTATACACAAGCGGCTACTCTCACTTCTCTCTAAGTCTCTATTCTAATAATCACACACTGTTATTTTCACTTCTCAGCCATGTTGAATGTTGATGTTATAGACCTCGCCCTCGTAGCTCTGCACTCTCGTTTACCTTCCTACCAAATGTTTTCTTGTAGCAAACTAGACAGTTTTCTTGATGATACTAAATGCAAGCTACACTAAGCTGGATAACACTAGACCTGGTTTTCTGTACCATTACCCCAATAACCCTATTAGTCATTACCCCATTATGCTTGCCTCCCCCGTCTACTCACAAGCGGCTACTCTCTAATGGTCACTAGCGGCTACTCTCACTTCTCTTTGCTATGCAGTTGTTGTTTGTGTGGCTCCTTTCACTCCCGCCAACGCTTTCTTGTAGCATACTAGTCAGCGAGTTGTCTTCCTGACTAATGAACCAGTCCGACATTTCACCAAGCTAACGATTCTCGTCGTGCACTGCAAGGGGCCCCTTTTATTTGATGTGTTTGCATTCGAATAGGGAGGTTCAACGATCAATGACCATTGTCCATAATGGTCGTTCTCGAGGAAATTCGGGCAGGTTATCGTAAAGCCTAAAGGGCTGTACCTGCAGCCGTTTTGTCCAGTTACTTTCCACTTGAAAGTTAAAGGTTTTATACTATATGCTTGTTTAATGTTTATAAATGATGTAATTTGCTCATCACAGTTGTTCTGCACCTGTCTGGGAGTCTCTTAAATAAATGACCTTAGCCCAATATTTGACCACAATTCAAGCGAAAAACGGAATTTTCTTTAAAATTAAAGATTTAAATCTATAGATTCATAAATTTAATCATACACCTTCATATCAAATGTGCTTATTCTGTTTTATGTACAAGCGTGTCAGCGAGTCTCTGTGACTAAGACAGGCCAATTTTATAAAATTGTTTAATTAACCAACACAACTACCACCATCATTCACATTTCACAGGAAGATTAGGATCACGCGGTCTGATTATTGCTCGAACCTACCCTCCATTAACAACTTCCCATTTCCACAATTCACTGTAGAATTGTTACTGTGCAACTTTGATATTAACTTTGATTTTCAATTTAATAGGAGGTGATATTGAGAAAATGACTGACAAGATTTTGATGTTTCTTGTTTTTCTTTCCTCTGTAAACCTATCGAGAACCGAGAATAAAGGTAAGAGCTTCTTAAACTTCATTTCATAAAATATAATCTTATACTTGGAGATTTTGGGTTTTGGGCATATTGAGGTGATCTGGCATAATTGAGCCAAGAAGGGCTTTCTCGGAAACAAGTTTCTCAAAAAATTCAGGCTGGTCCCCCCTGTAGCAGAAGGGTTTTTGATTAACATTTTAAAATACCATATCTTCGTCGCCCGAAACTACGTTGCAAATATAGAGTTACAAATTAAATTCTTAAAGCAAGGATTTCTAAAAATTCTGTACAAATCTCAGTGACCGCCTAACTGTTGTAAGAAACCAAACACCTTCCAATTGGTAAACAATATTGGTAAGATGTGAAATTACATTTCCCTTAAATAGTATGAATCCTTCAGATTGGGCACAGGTGGTATTCGAACAACAAATACCCTTCCAACAAGGAATAACAAAGCTTCTGGTAAAGACTGATTCGATACTGGGAAGCAATGAGGAAATAAGGTTGCAATTTGTAGAAGAGAACAACAGTCCCAGTGGGGGAATTAGGATAATGTTCTATCCAGCCGGGCTAAAGTATATCATTGGAGGTTGCACCACAGCGTGGGAAAGATTCGCAAGCGAGCCGCCAACTGAGACGGCCAAAATTTGGGAGTTTGTTCTAAATCCTCGAAGGATTAATGTCAAGTGTAACGAGAAGGAGGTTCTTGATTTTGTGTTGTCGAATATTGACTGTCCGAACTTGAATTGGGTGAGCGGAGAAACAGAACTGAAAGCTGTAATGTTTCATGATATCGACAAAGCCTCTGACTTCTTCGTCGTTAAGCAAGGTTTGCTGGAATTCGATTGTTTCTGAGTTAAATTCCACTATTTGATGGTTGATATTTTGATTTTAAACTCTGTTATGTAATTAAGAGTTGTCATTGCCAGTAACTTCTTCTTAACCAAATTGTTTTTGAATGGTAGTGTTAACAGAGCGTTTAGACTGTTGTTTTTTCGATAATCCTCTTCGTTGGATGCATTAACATGATAAAGTAAATTTTGATAAAATAAATTTTGTTTAACAATTAACATAGAGACTGTCTCAGATTGGAGTTGGACTGAAGTTAAACGGGACATGAATTTTCCTTTTGACCAAGAAACAACATCACTCCAGATCCAGACAAACTCTTTGTCTGGAAGTGGGAGTGTGATAAGAATCAAATTCTTTAACAAAAACGAAGTTGGTGAAGAGAAGCTTGTCGGCTCAATACGGATTAGTCTATCTGATGAGCCGACATATACTGTTATGAGATGTCTAAAAAGAGAAACAGAGATGAAGCCCTTTACAGAGGAGCTTCCTGCAGAGAAATACAAAATCTGGAACATCACTAGAATAGCTGACAAACTGATTGTGGAGTGCAATGGAGTGATGGTTTTAGATTTCAAGTTCTCAGATGAAAAATGTGAACTGTATGGTCCTAAATGGAAAGAATTGTGGAATCAGAAAATAACATACGCAGCTTTCATAACAGATACGTTCTCTTATGGACAGTATGGTGATACTGGTTCAGAGTATTATAAAACCACGCCAATATCAGGTTGGATTAAGATAAGATATTTTAATGAAAGTTATGTAGACAATTATTTAGTACTAATTCATTGTCATGTTAATATAGTAAAGCAATTTTTTAAACTTATGGCGCAAAATATAACCAATGTAATATAGAATTAGTTCACCAGCTCATGGCACAAACATTTGCAGGTTGGAAAGCGGTTGAACGTGCAGTGGACCTAGACCTCAACTGGAAACAAACCTACCTTGAGATCAGAACCTCAGCTTCATTGGGTAGCGACAAGAAACTATATGTCCACTTTCATGACGAAAATATGGCGTTAGCAGGAGCAGTGGTGATAACGTTCAGTTCCCCGATAAGGTATCACATAGGATGGTGCAAAAGTAACACATTTTCAAGTGCCATACCACCAGGACCTGAGCAAACCTGGACCCTGATCAGAACTCTAGCAGGCGTGAAGATGCTGTGCAATGATACCGAGGTCCTGGACTTTGAGGTATCTGGTGGTACTTGTGGTGTGACTACAACTTGGGAAGATTATTGGAGTAAGAATGTCAAGAAAATGGTTTTTACGCAAAGTGATACAGCATCGACCTATTATAGGATAAAGCTGAAGCCAGGTATGTTTTATTTTTCAAATTTTGGAAAATTTCTCGAGAAGGTGAATATTTTGGGTGAATATTTCAGGCTTAATTTAAGGATGAACAATTATTTTTCTTTAAAAACAGTGCTATATTAATCTTCCTGTTCAGTTGATGGAGGATACAAAATGTATCGGAAAAATTTGAAATAAACTGAAAACATTTTATGGCATACTATAATAGTTGTATAATGTATAAGTTGTATAAGTTGTATAAGTTGTATAAGTTGTATAAGTTGTATAAGTTGTATAAGTTGCTTCATAAGTTGTTATTTATAAATAAATTTAATGTCTTCAGTTAGTCTTGAGTTGGTCTCCGCTAGTCAAAGTAGTGAACATAACAGTGGCAGTGCCGCAGACAAGGCCATCGATGGTAATACTAATGGCAACATGAACAATGGGGACGGGTAAGTTAATATCCAAGTCTTTGCTTCTTGTTGGGCAAAGGAAAACAAATCAGTAAACAGACCACAGCCCGGGATTTAAGATAGTAATCTGAATACATTCAGCATTTAGGCAATGAAAATACAAAAATATATATCCTAAGATCATGTACGCACACGGCTGAAAACACTGGAAACACTGATAACGAATTGTGGTGGATGGCTGAATTTAGAGAGGCTACAGTGACCAAGGTCGTTCTACACAACAGGATCGACTGCTGCTCAGAAAGGATCGATGACAATATGGTTAGACTACTGAAACTTTTTTATCTTCTTAGAATAAACATTCCAAAATAATGAGATAATACGAATGGTTCAACGTTATTTAGATCTTAAACAATTTTACAGTCCATGATATTGTTTCTGCGTCATTAGTGAACGTCGCATTATATAGTGAGGAAACAATAAAATGCCAATGTGCGAAAAGTATTTGATTTATTCCAACGACATTCTAATCATTGTCAAATGTGTCCATTAAACTTACCTGATGCCGAATTTCATCTCTGCAGGTTTACATTGGGAACGGGTACTGTAATAAAGTCGTGTACGTAGTAGGGCAGAGTATTTACGAGCTCATCTGTGAAGGAGCTTTGACAGGAACGAGTGTCAAAGTAATGAAGAATAGCGGTGTGCTGACTCTTTGTGAGGTTGAGGTTTTTGGAGTCCCAACGCCTCCAGGTGATGCACATTTTATGATAAACTTTAATATTTTTAACAAAGAAGTTTTCAGAGTATCATTATATGGACTATCACGTGACTTAGTTGAACACGTTTTCTATATGGATCTGACAAACAAGCCAACCTCTTACTAGTAACTCTGACCCCACCCTAACCCTAACCCAATCCCAAACTCAAGCATGAAAACAAAGTCAGGGTTAGGGGGATTCGAAGCCAGCGTCCAAAAATGCAATGATTTAAGCTAATTTCAAATAGCAAAGATCCTTTTAAAAAGTGCCAGTGTAGAGCGATTTAAATTTAGCATGTTCTTCGTGATAATGTACTATATTAAATAATAAGCTACCTAACTATCAGTTAACTAGCCTCCTGATAAAATGTGTTCCTCGTAAAAACTCGCACACACTAGATTGCTATAATAATCTTCCTGTTTAGTTGATGGAGGATACAGTGCCTTTGGAGAGTGGTCTGGGTGCTCTGCTGAATGTGACGGAGGAACACAAACCAGAACCAGACAATGTAACAACCCTGCTCCCGCTAATGGTGGTAACGAATGTGCAGGAGTAAACTCAGAAACTCAAAATTGTAACACAGAATCTTGCCCAGGTGGTTATATAATATTATGTCATTAAAGGGTATCTACACGTTTTTAGGATAGACACTGGTTTATTTTAATATTTTTTTATTCAATACTTGGCTTGTTTAATTTTAAGGAGGAACAATCTTTTCTTTTTTTTAACAGTGCTATAATAATCTTCCTGTTTAGTTGATGGAGGATACAGTGCCTTTGGGGAGTGGTCTGGGTGCTCTGCTGAATGTGACGGGGGAACACAAACCAGAACCAGACAATGTAACAACCCTGCTCCCGCTAATGGTGGTAACGAATGTGAAGGAGTAAACTCAGTAACTCAAAATTGTAACACAGAATCTTGCCCAGGTGGTTATATAATATTATGTCATTAAAGGGTATCTACATGTTTTTAGGATAGACACTGGTTTATTTTATTATTTTTTAATTCAATACTTGGCTTGTTTAATTTTAAGGATGAATAATCTTTTCTTTTTTTAACAGTGCCATAATAATCTTCCTGTTTAGTTAATGGAGGATACAGTGCCTTTGGGGAGTGGTCTGGGTGCTCTGCTGAATGTGATGGAGGAACACAAACCAGAACCAGACAATGTAACAACCCTGCTCCCGCTAACGGTGGTAACGAATGTGAAGGAGTAAACTCAGTAACTCAAAATTGTAACACAGAATCTTGCCCAGGTGGTTATATAATATTATGTCATTAAAGGGTATCTACATGTTTTTAGGATAGACACTGGTTTATTTTATTATTTTTTAATTCAATACTTGGCTTGTTTAATTTTAAGGATGAATAATCTTTTCTTTTTTTAAGAGTGCTATAATAATCTTCCTGTTCAGTTGATGGAGGATACAGTGCCTTTGGGGACTGGTCTGGGTGCTCTGCTGAATGTGATGGAGGAACACAAACCAGAACCAGACAATGTAACAACCCTGCTCCCGCTAATGGTGGTAACGAATGTGAAGGAGCAAACTCAGTAACTCAAAATTGTAACCCAGAATCTTGCTCTAGCTCAGGTGGTTACATATGTCATTAAAGGGTATCTACATGTTTTTAGGATATATACTGGAATATTATACTGGTTTATTTTAGTAAACATTTTAATTCAATACTTTGGTATCGACGTAGTGGATGGTTGAGCTGGTTTCAAGCTCGCGTTTTACTCGATCCCCCCTATAAGTATAACCACATAAGCCAAATTTGGTCAAATTAGGACCGGACAAACAACAGCAGGACAAATTGGGGCCGAAAACAACCACTGGTTAAACTTAAATACAACAAAACCACGATCCATAACCGATCACAATTTTACTAAAAACCATTTCAGCGCCACAACAATGCTCCACTCCGGATATACCTCACCTCAGCTACCCTCCCCCAGACGCAGCCACTTATCCTCAAGGAACTGAGCTGACCCTGCAGTGTGCGGCGGCCGGTCACGTGATCATGGGAACGCGCACGATCACGTGCCAGAACGACGGACAGTGGTCTAGTCAGCTTGCTACCTGCTCTACCACAGGTTGGTTTATTAACCATTATCTGAGAAAATTAACCACTATCTGTTTCTGTTAACCACGGTTATCGGAGATCTGCGTTTCAAGTGACCACGACGGGACCAAGACATTTGACTTTGTATTTCGATAATCAAAATAACGAGTCTAACACAGTTTAAGTAAAGATTTAGAGGCACAATGAATGAGGGAACATTCCTTGTGTGATCTAATATAGTAATATCTACTGATTAGTTTTAGACAGTTTAACTTAATCCTACTTCCAGTTTGATATATTTACAACTAATTTTTTAAATGTCATGTGACCTGTCACGCACCCCCACGAATAGAATAATTACAGGTGAATTGTGCGTATCCTAAAATCACCATGGTATCTTTTAACTTTTTAATGAGTTTCCAGACGTTGTTGCTGGTAGGGGAAAGAAATCGAGTGTTCCTGATTCTCTGCTTTGTTGGTTTAAAGACTAGCAGTTTAACGTGTTTAACATGTTAAATTAACATATGTTTAACATGTTAAATTGTCACTTCTAAAGTTTGCTTCACACATTATCCTTCACAAAGTAGTAACACCAGGTAACACTGTAACGAAGATCATACATTAAGACAACCGGGAAACCCATACTATTTAAGGCATTCTTATTGCTCAGTAAATAAAATATAAAACAAAATAAATTAATGTTTTCTTGCGTAAATTTCTATTGATCCCGTTTGATGCGACAAGGAAAGGAATAATTCCTTTCCTGATAAGAGCCTTTTCCTTGTCTCATATAACGGGATCAATAGAAATTTATCCAAGAAAAAATTAATTCAACTATGCGACTCAAAAATAATATTCCAATCCGGATTTTACAAAATAGATTAAATTATAAAATATAAAAAGAGAACAAACACTAACTTCTTAAAGTCTCAGCTGTTCGTTCTGCAGCCTTCTCTCTCTCCTCACTCATCTTGTTCTGTAAGTCCGCTATAAGGTCCTCTGCAGCCTGGCAGATAAGTATTTATTAATTTAATTAATATTTTCCAATTTTGATTTGGCGTATTTTTATGAAGGACACTTTCTTTAAATTGTTTAAAAAATTCTTACTCATACGCTATAATTAAAAAGTCAAACTGAACAGATAACTAAAAATTGCGCAGTATGACTTGCATGTAACTTCTTTTTTTTAACCCATATAATACCAACAACTCTAAACGTTCGAATTTTTTGATGAAATTTTGTTTCCTAAGCACTGAGGTACCAACTCCGACGGTGCAATAATTATTTTGAAAAAATTTATATTTTTTATAGCTTTTTCGACCCGTACTTTTAAAAGTTCATTGTTGGAGCTTGCTTTTTTGGAACATTGCATCGTACTTTTAAAAGTACATCATATTTGAATGATGTACTTTTAAAAGTACGGGTTTAATAAATAATGTACTTTTAAAAGTACGGGTTTAATGAATAGTGTACTTCTGGAGGTACGTTACTTAATTAAACAGAGGCTGAGACAATTCTAGAGGAGGCTGAGACAATTCTAGAGGAACAGAAGAGAGTAGCAGAAGCTGAGCGTATTCTAGAGGAACAGAAGAGAGTAGCAGAAGCTGAGAGAGTTCTAGAGGAACAGAAGAGAGTAGCAGAAGCTGAGAGAGTTCTAGAGGAGCAGAAGAGAGTAGCAGAAGCTGAGCGTATTCTAGAGGAACAGAAGAGAGTAGCAGAAGCTGAGAGAGTTCTAGAGGAACAGAAGAGAGTAGCAGAAGCTGAGAGAGTTCTAGAGGAGCAGAAGAGAGTAGCAGAAGCTGAGAGAGTTCTAGAGGAACAGAAGAGAGTAGCAGAGGTGGAGAGAATTCTAGAGGAACAGACGAGAGTAGCAGAAGCTGAGAGAGTTATAGAGGAACAGAAGAGAGTAGCAGAAGCTGAGAGAGTTCTAGACTCTAGAGGAACAGAAGAGAGTAGCATAAGCTGAGAGAGTTCTAGAGGAGCAGAAGAGAGTAGCAGAAGCTGAGCGTATTCTAGAGGAACAGAAGAGAGTAGCAGAGGTGGAGAGAATTCTACAGGAACAGACGAGAGTAGCAGAAGCTGAGAGAGTTCTAGAGGAGCAGAAGAGAGTAGCAGAAGCTGAGCGTATTCTAGAGGAACAGAAGAGAGTAGCAGAGGTGGAGAGAATTCTAGAGAAACAGACGAGAGTAGCAGAAGCTGAGAGAGTTCTAGAGGAACAGAAGAGAGTAGCAGAAGCTGAGCGTATTCTAGAGGAACAGAAGAGAGTAGCAGAGGTGGAGAGAATTCTAGAGAAACAGACGAGAGTAGCAGAAGCTGAGAGAGTTCTAGAGGAGCAGAAGAGAGTAGCAGAAGCTGAGAGAGTTCTAGAGGAACAGAAGAGAGTAGCAGAAGCTGAGAGAGTTCTAGAGGAACAGAAGAGAGTAGCAGAAGCTGAGAGAGTTCTAGAGGAACAGAAGAGAGTAGCAGAAGCTGAGAGTGTTCTAGAGGAACAGAAGAGAGTAGCATAAGCTGAGAGAGTTCTAGAGAAACAGAAGAGAGTAGCAGAGGTGGAGAGAATTCTAGAGAAACAGACGAGAGTAGCAGAAGCTGAGAGAGTTCTAGAGGAGCAGAAGAGAGTAGCAGAAGCTGAGCGTATTCTAGAGGAACAAAAGAGAGTAGCAGAAGCTGAGAGAGTTCTAGAGGAACAGAAGAGAGTAGCAGAAGCTGAGAGAGTTCTAGAGGAGCAGAAGAGAGTAGCAGAAGCTGAGCGTATTCTAGAGGAACAGAAGAGAGTAGCAGAAGCTGAGAGAATTCTAGAGAAACAGACGAGAGTAGCAGAAGCTGAGAGAGTTCTAGAGGAGCAGAAGAGAGTAGCAGAAGCTGAGCGTATTCTAGAGGAACAGAAGAGAGTAGCAGAAGCTGAGAGAGTTCTAGAGGAGCAGAAGAGAGTAGCAGAAGCTGAGCGTATTCTAGAGGAACAGAAGAGAGTAGCAGAGGTGGAGAGAATTCTAGAGAAACAGACGAGAGTAGCAGAAGCTGAGAGAGTTCTAGAGGAGCAGAAGAGAGTAGCAGAAGCTGAGCGTATTCTAGAGGAACAGAAGAGAGTAGCAGAAGCTGAGAGAGTTCTAGAGGAACAGAAGAGAGTAGCAGAAGCTGAGAGAGTTCTAGAGGAACAGAAGAGAGTAGCAGAAGCTGAGAGAGTTCTAGAGGAACAGAAGAGAGTAGCAGAGGTGGAGAGAATTCTAGAGGAACAGACGAGAGTAGCAGAAGCTGAGAGAGTTATAGAGGAACAGAAGAGAGTAGCAGAAGCTGAGAGAGTTCTAGACTCTAGAGGAACAGAAGAGAGTAGCATAAGCTGAGAGAGTTCTAGAGGAGCAGAAGAGAGTAGCAGAAGCTGAGCGTATTCTAGAGGAACAGAAGAGAGTAGCAGAGGTGGAGAGAATTCTAGAGGAACAGACGAGAGTAGCAGAAGCTGAGAGAGTTCTAGAGGAGCAGAAGAGAGTAGCAGAAGCTGAGCGTATTCTAGAGGAACAGAAGAGAGTAGCAGAGGTGGAGAGAATTCTAGAGAAACAGACGAGAGTAGCAGAAGCTGAGAGAGTTCTAGAGGAACAGAAGAGAGTAGCAGAAGCTGAGCGTATTCTAGAGGAACAGAAGAGAGTAGCAGAGGTGGAGAGAATTCTAGAGAAACAGACGAGAGTAGCAGAAGCTGAGAGAGTTCTAAAGGAGCAGAAGAGAGTAGCAGAAGCTGAGAGAGTTCTAGAGGAACAAAAGAGAGTAGCAGAAGCTGAGAGAGTTCTAGAGGAACAGAAGAGAGTAGCAGAAGCTGAGAGAGTTCTAGAGGAGCAGAAGAGAGTAGCAGAAGCTGAGCGTATTCTAGAGGAACAGAAGAGAGTAGCAGAGGTGGAGAGAATTCTAGAGGAACAGAAGAGAGTAGCAGAAGCTGAGAGAGTTCTAGAGGAGCAGAAGAGAGTAGCAGAAGCTGAGCGTATTCTAGAGGAACAGAAGAGAGTAGCAGAGGTGGAGAGAATTCTAGAGGAGCAGAAGAGAGTAGCAGAAGCTGAGAGAGTTCTAGAGAAACAGACGAAAGTAGCAGAAGCTGAGAGAGTTCTAGAGGAACAGAAGAGAGTAGCAGAAGCTGAGCGTATTCTAGAGGAACAGAAGAGAGTAGCAGAAGCTGAGAGAGTTCTTGAGGAGCAGGAGAGAGTAGCAGAAGCTGAGAGAGTTCTAGAGGAGCAGAAGAGAGTAGCAGAGGTGGAGAGAATTCTAGAGGAACAGAACAACTCAGCTGAGGAAATGCATAGACAACAAGGAAAGGAATCTTATGTTGGAACAGCAGATTGCTGAATGCTGATGGCACACAATCATGTCAGTATTTAATAGTTAACATACATCGGAATTCGGAAACCAGTTACAAGATCTAGGATTGTTAACACTAAGCGGGGGGGGGGGGGGGGGTGGGGGTGGGGGATCAGGTACCAAGTGCCGTACGTGACGTCGACTAAGTGCAACTTTGGAATTTACAAAAAAGACCCACCCACCCCCTTCGCGGTACTAACTTTTTTTTTCGGATAATATTTAGGACACCCACCCCTTTTGCGGTACTAACTGTTGAGAAATCACGGTACTGACTGTGTTTTGGTATATAAAATAAGATACAAATTGCTTTAAACAGCTCATTAAACATTGGGAAATGGACAAAGTCTACCCACTATTTAATAGGGATTTTGTTTTCAATGCAGTCGAATTAAATAAAAAGTTACAAAAAAAGGAAACAAAATAAAAAAACCCAAAAAAAAGGGAAAAAACCTCAAAACCCAAAAAAAAACCCATTCCCAAAATTGTAATTTGAGGTAAAATGGATTTTTTGGGGTTGGACACCCCCTTAGTACCTTGTACTAACGGATTTTTTGGGAAATGAGCAGCAGACCCACCACTTAGTACAAAAGTACTAACTGTGTTTTGGAAGAAAATATGACCCACCCCCCCGCATTAAGTAAAAGTATATTGAAGGCCGCTCTGGAAGACGTGGAATAACCGGGTGAAAACGTGGATCCTTCAAGATCGACTAAATCCCAGAAGTCACAACAGAAAGTTTTTTGTTGTGTCTTCCGTTCTGATTCAGAACAATTTACCTGCCATTACAGTCTTACCGACGTTAATCATGCCAGCACACATTGTGTAGTCTATATAAATTATAAACCTGTACTTTTAAAAGTACATTTTTCGTGAAACCTGTCCTTTTAAAAGTACAATATTCGAAGATAATGCACTTTTAAAAGTACGTACTTTTAAAAGTACATCATTGTCTAGAATGATGTACTTTTGAAAGTACACCCAATTAACATCTCAATTAGAGGCAATTAATGATTTTTATGTCGCCCCACATTATTGCATATTTATTGCACAATCGTTTAGGCAATATTAAAAAAACAAATTTGGGATCCATCAAAGTTGGAGAATTGGCTGGTGGTACCGAGAATTTACCATTTTTCAAAGTACCATTTTTGACCACCTTTGCCAACATCCTATAAATTTCTTGCTTTTTTTAACCATCTGGCCAGGGTGTTAAAATCATCAGCAGACCTTTTCTAACCTAATGCAAAAAACTGTATCAAAAAATATTTGTCACGAGACAAGTTAGGTCACTGTTTATGAACCGTACTTTTAAAAGTACCGTGGAAGAATATGGGTTAAAGGGGGGGGGTTCACCCGGATTTTTTGTGAAACTTGGTTTCGAGATAGACCAACAAAATAGGACCGGTGACCGAACTTTTGAGGGGGTCCCGGACCCCAACCGCCAAACGGTGCCCGGGGGCAGCCACGCCCATATTTGGTCCAAGTTAGGCCCAATTTAGCCAAATACCCTGAAAATGCCCAAAACCCAGATTTTAGGTGCTCTACATGTAGCTAGTGGTCCCCTGAACTCGTATATGAATTTTCATCAAGATTGGACAAAAAATGGCTGAGTTATGAGCCAAAAAACATATAACCATATTTGGGCATACGCACCTAATTTGATCGATTTTGGCCTATAAATTGGTCGAATATCAATATTTTTGAATGAAACCAACTTTATATGAAAGGTAAGCCTAACCTACACATTCTCTATGATTATCAGCTCAATATCTACCTAATTGTGGATTCTGTGTTAAAATAATCGCAAAAAATGAACAAAATTGCCCATATCTCAGTTCGCAATATTTGCGAAACTGACTTCGCTCAAAACAGTAGAACTCAATGGGGTTTCAATATTTTTTTATGAAATTTTCAGAATCAACTTAGTAGAATTGCCTCTTGATGAAATTTCATATACTAGTTCAGAGGATCACTAGCTACAAGTAGAGCGCCTAAATCTGGGTTTTGGGCATGTTCAGATGTTCAGGGTATTAAGCTAAATTGGGCCTAACTTGGACCAAATATGGGCGTGGCAGCCCGCGGGCACCGTTTGGCGGTTGGGGTCCGGGACCCGCTCAAAAGTTCGGTCACCGGTCTTAGTTTGTTGGTCAACTGGCTATCTCAAAACCAAGTTTCACAAAAAAATCAGGGTGAACCCTGTTATGCATGACTTGTTTAACGTTAATAAATCAAATTTCAAATACAAATCATCTACAATTAATGATAATTTGCGTTTTATTTCTTTAAAGTTTAAATACAAAAGTTACTCACGGAAGATTCGTGACTATCTTGTACAGTTTTAGAGTTGGTTTTCCGGACGGTGAATTCAAGTTGACCAACGTGTAACTTTAGCTCAGCGTTTTCCTGCAATGTGAAATAGTGAAATTTCAGTGAAATAGTGAAATTTTAGACAAACTATAGTTTGAACTGCTAGTGAAATTAAAGGTAATCTAGCTAACGGTAATAACAGCCAGGTAGCGCAGTTGGTTAAAACGCCAGCTTTGCAATCGTGAGGTTGCGAGATCGAATCCCACGCTCATCCCTGCCTGGTCGTGGGGTGAGCGTCGTTGACGTTCAGCTAAGGATCCTGAGTGGTCTATGCAGCCCCCCTGTCTACTCAGCCGAAAACTCGAGAAATCGGGCGTGAGGGTTAAAATTAAATGAGGAGCTGCACATTGCAGCAAAGTCTCGGGCGAAGAAAGAATGGTACACACTACCTTAACCGTCACTTGCCAAAACAAATTCTTCGGCTTCCTGCAATTGGCTGGTTGCACTTGTGTAACAATGTGGCTGTTGGAATACTCCGAAGTAAAATAAGTATCTTGATTAAAAAAAAGCTAAATAGATAAACTTAATTGTTTGATGATACAATAATCAACACTACGAAAGTAAAGTTGAGCAGTATAAAATCTGTAGAGATCAGAGTGTGAATTTAAGGTACTTCAGCAGGGAACCATACAGGTATTTCCCAAACCGAAGATTATTGAAATTACTTCATGATCAGCCCTCAGTTTTCCAAATGTAAGTACAGTCGGCCTTGTTTCTGTCCTCATTCATGATAGTTAAAAAATGTTGACAAATTTAGGTCAACCCAAAGTTTTGCGGCCATTAGTATGTCTGACCTTTAGTTTTTTCCGAAGAGTAAAACGGTGGTATATAAAGATATAAGGTTACTAACGAGGAAAGCTTACCCCAAAAACAAAATTGAAGAAATCGACAGAGGTCGCACAACTATAACAGATAACTAAAGAAGTAACAAGTTGAAAGCTAAAAAAGTAAAAAGCAGATTTCATAAGTACAATGCTGTATTCTCAATACTGTCTGGCGCAGCTACTCAGACATTACCAAGCAGGCTATTAAAATAATAGCCACAAGTTTTAATGAAGCAACTAAAGACAATAATTGTAAAACTTTAATTGAAACACTGTAACAGAGTGATGATATCAAGATATAATACTTGACGGGGGTCAAGATATTAAAACCCTAAACGTAATAACAATACATACCTTTTAAACTGCAGTTATATGCGCTCTTTTTACGTAAACTGAATTCTCCGATCATAAATTCTGCTCCGAAGGCGAGCAAATGACACAATTACAACAGATAAAGTTAAATTACTTGTAACCTACTAAGTAACTCAAAATAATAAGTAACTCAAAATTTCCACTAAAATCCAGTCACCGTTGACAAAGCAAAGACGTTACGTCTGCACCAGTTCGTAATATGCAGAAGTTTGTATTTGATATGCTTAATATGCTGCACACGTCTAACATATTATGAAGCGCATAATAATCCATTAAAAAGAGTTTGGTCTAATGTAGATTCTACTTAGCATAAATGCACCGTGTTGCAGTCAACACAGTTAAAATTGCTCAAAAGAGCTTAAAATTTTAGAGTTCGAAGCGTATTATTATAGCTGTTGCATGCTAAGCAGTGTACTGGCGTTGTAAAACTGGCATAAATTAAATGTGACGAATGAACGAAGAGACTGTAACAGTAACGGATCGATGCACGAGATACAAGAATACAAAAGAGCTGTTCATGAACACAATTATTGGTCATTTATTATGGGAACATTTGTCTTCATTTCTTGCTACAGTTTAGCGTGGAGGTAGTTAACTAGTTTGGGTACAAATTTCAACATTTTAACAATTTGAACAAGCTCTAAAGTTTTAATAATCAAACAAGCGGTGCTCTCCGAGTGTGTCAAAGAAATAATGAATTTCCAAAACAATTAATTTGTTAAAGTGGGAGAGAGGTCAATGAAGAGCCGCCTTTTGCTAGATCAGATGCAGTATGCATTGATACAAATATGAGACCAGCTGTGAGAAGTAGAAATTTAGATTTTAAAAGTTTTCAAACTGGTTTCATTGCCTATTCGATTTTGAATGGCTTTGAGATAGTGGCAGATCATGGTTTTCTACTTTTTGTTGGGGTTTTCAACAATTGAACCTTACTTTTATCCTATTTTTTAAAGATGCCGCCTACCACACCCTGTATGCATGACTTACCACACGCAAAGCGAGGTCCTTTGTCTCCCAGCATCTTATCGGCCATGTGAGAGGAAACCAGGACTAGTCAGTAGTCACTCGCTGACAAGCAAGCCCTTTCAACTACTTGTTTAACAAGGCTAGTGTCTTCCTATAAGCTATTGGTGACCACCATATTGGGCCAAACAGATTCTGGCTTACCTCAACAGGCTACCGGGGGGGGGAGCTGGTACATGTGTTCTTAGAATCAGTTAATCAGGCTACCGGGGGGGGGGGAGCTGGTACATGTGTTCTTAGAATCAGTTAATCAGGCTACCGGGGAGGGAGAGCTGGTGCATGTGTTCTTAGAATCAGTTAATCAGGCTACCGGGGGGGGGGGGGGGGGGGAGGAGCTGGTACATGTGTTCTTAGAATCAGTTAATCAGGCTACCGAGGGGGAGCTGGTACATGTGTTCTTAGAATCAGTTAATCAGGCTACCGAGGGGGAGCTGGTACATGTGTTCTTAGAATCAGTTAATCAGGCTACCGGGGGGGGGGGGGGGAGCTGGTACATGTGTTCTTAGAATCAGTTAATCAGGCTACCGAGGGGGAGCTGGTACATGTGTTCTTAGAATCAGTTAATCAGGCTACCGGGGGGGGGGGAGCTGGTACATGTGTTCTTAGAATCAGTTAATCAGGCTACCGAGGGGGAGCTGGTACATGTGTTCTTAGAATCAGTTAATCAGGCTACCGGGGGGGGGGGGGGAGCTGGTACATGTGTTCTTAGAATCAGTTAATCAGGCTACCGAGGGGGAGCTGGTACATGTGTTCTTAGAATCAGTTAATCAGGCTACCGGGGAGGGAGAGCTGGTGCATGTGTTCTTAGAATCAGTTAATCAGGCTACCGAGGGGGAGCTGGTACATGTGTTCTTAGAATCAGTTAATCAGGCTACCGGGGGGGGGGGGGGTGGGAGCTGGTACATGTGTTCTTAGAATCAGTTAATCAGGCTACCGAGGGGGAGCTGGTACATGTGTTCTTAGAATCAGTTAATCAGGCTACCGGGGGGGGGGGGGAGCTGGTACATGTGTTCTTAGAATCAGGTAATCAGGCTACCGAGGGGGAGCTGGTACATGTGTTCTTAGAATCAGTTAATCAGGCTACCGGGGGGGGGGGGAGCTGGTACATGTGTTCTTGGAATCATTTAATCAGGCTACCGGGGGGGGGGGGGGAGCTGGTACATGTGTTCTTAGAATCAGTTAATCAGGCTACCGGGGGGGGGGGGAGTTGGTACATGTGTTCTTAGAATCAGGTAATCAGGCTACCGAGGGGGAGCTGGTACATGTGTTCTTAGAATCAGTTAATCAGGCTACCGAGGGGGAGCTGGTACATGTGTTCTTAGAATCAGTTAATCAGGCTACCGAGGGGGAGCTGGTACATGTGTTCTTAGAATCAGTTAATCAGGCTACCGGGGGGGGGGGGGGGAGCTGGTACATGTGTTCTTAGAATCAGTTAATCAGGCTACCGAGGGGGGAGCTGGTACGTGTGTTCTTAGAATCAGTTAATCAGGCTACCGGGGGGGGGGGAGCTGGTACATGTGTTCTTAGAATCAGTTAATCAGGCTACCGGGGGGGGGGGAGCTGGTACATGTGTTCTTAGAATCAGTTAATCAGGCTACCGGGGGGGGGGGAGCTGGTACATGTGTTCTTAGAATCAGTTAATCAGGCTACCGGGGGGGGAGCTGGTACATGTGTTCTTAGAATCAGTTAATCAGGCTACCGGGGGGGGGAGCTGGTACATGTGTTCTTAGAATCAGTTAATCAGGCTACCGGGGGGGGAGCTGGTACATGTGTTCTTAGAATCAGTTAATCAGGCTACCGGGGGGGGGGGGGGGGAGCTGGTACATGTGTTCTTAGAATCAGTTAATCAGGCTACCGAGGGGGGAGCTGGTACATGTGTTCTTAGAATCAGTTAATCAGGCTACCGGGGGGGGGGGGGGAGCTTGGTACATGTGTTCTTAGAATCAGGTAATCAGGCTACCGAGGGGGGAGCTGGTACATGTGTTCTTAGAATCAGTTAATCAGGCTACCGGGGGGGGGGGAGCTGGTACATGTGTTCTTGGAATCATTTAATCAGGCTACCGGGGGGGGGGGGGAGCTGGTACATGTGTTCTTAGAATCAGTTAATCAGGCTACCGGGGGGGGGGAGTGGTACATGTGTTCTTAGAATCAGGTAATCAGGCTACCGAGGGGGGAGCTGGTACATGTGTTCTTAGAATCAGTTAATCGGGCTACCGAGGGGGAGCTGGTACATGTGTTCTTAGAATCAGTTAATCAGGCTACCGGGGGGGGGGAGCTGGTACATGTGTTCTTAGGATCATTTAATCAGGCTACCGGGGGGGGGGGGGGGAGCTGGTACATGTGTTCTTAGAATCAGTTAATCAGGCTACTATGGATTTCAAAAGCGGTTTATGGACTAATAGACCACTTTTGCACTGGTAACTGGTCTCACATAAAAGAAACGGATTGATTTCATGATGCACAATGGAACACTAGATGGGCCCGCCTTGATGGCTGACGGGAGGACGATGATCGAAATTATTGACAAACAAACACAACAACAAAGGTGGTGTCAGAGGTTGAAAACTTATACTTGGAAACTTACTTATATTTGGAAACTTACTTATATTTGGAAACTTACTGTTACATAAATATATAGGAGAAAAAATCAATTTTGATTGAAAGAAGACGGAAAAGAACATTCAAATCAGACGACAAAGTTAAAACAAACCTTCTCTAGGACAGTTAGAAAATCAGTCCTCTCTTTCAGCAGTTTTCTTTCGTCCACTCCCAGCAAGTTCTCTGTCTGTTTCTTAAATTAAGATTTTATTTTTAATTCTTATACTTACTATTATTTAGGTGACGTATCAGTTTGACATGCGTGACTGATTTTAATTATGCTATACTTCCTTAACAGCTTAATGTTACAGCATAGTGAGTTAAAGTATGCTTATCAAGCGGAAGAAGTCAATAAAGTATTGATCTAAAGATTATGGTTTCACGGAAATAAGTCTTCAACTTTAAATGAACAGTCTTCAAAGAATTAACATTTATTTTTAAACTCAACATCTCGATTCATACGATGTTATTGCTAAGAAAGAGAGGAAAACAAAAGTAAAGACAGGAGAAGTAAAAATCGAGTCAGTTTCCATAAATAAAAACAGACATGAAACTCACAATATTTTAGAAATCATCTTACCCTGAGCTTCTCTATGACCAACTTGTTCCTGAGGGTTAGATTTATAGTTAAAAGAGAAGAGAAATGATTTAAAATCATATGATTATTCAAGGAATTCAGAGATAACCGCTTATCTCTGATCAATTTGGCTGTCAGTGCGATGAGTGTAGATATGACGAGATGACAACCTTACGATAAGAATGATAAATCACGAATAATTTGGGGGCGTGAGAGAGGGGCGCCATTTTCCCGAATAATTTGGGGGCGTGAGAGAGGGGCACCATTTTCCCGAATAATTTGGGGGGGCGTGAGAGAGGGGCACCATTTTCCCGAATAATTTGGGGGCGTGAGAGAGGGGCACCATTTTCCCGAATAATTTGGGGGGGGGGGGCGTGAAAGAGGGGCACCATTTTCCCGAATAATTTGGGGGCGTGAGAGAGGGGCACCATTTTCCCGAATAATTGGGGGGGGGCGTGAGAGAGGGGCACCATTTTCCCGAATAATTTGGGGACGTGAGAGAGGGGCGCCATTTTCCCGAATAGTTTGGGGACGTGAGAGAGGGGCGCCATTTTCCCGAATAATTTGGGGGCGTGAGAGAGGGTCGCCATTTTCCCGAATAATTGGGGGGCGTGAGAGAGGGGCACCATTTTCCCGAATAATTTGGGGGGGGGGGGCGTGAGAGAGGGGCGCCATTTTCCCGAATAATTGGGGGGGGGGGGGCGTGAGAGAGGGTCGCCATTTTCCCGAATAATTTGGGGGCGTGAGAGAGGGGCACCATTTTCCCGAATAATTTGGGGGCGTGAGAGAGGGGCACCATTTTCCCGAATAATTTGGGGGCGTGAGAGAGGGGCACCATTTTCCCGAATAATTTGGGGGGCGTGAGAGAGGGTCGCCATTTTCCCGAATAATTTGCGGGGCGTGAGAGAGGGCCGCCATTTTTCCCGAATTTAAAATCGTCGTACCTATCATTTGAATGTAGTTTATCCCGGCCAACTAAACGCGAAAAAATATATGAGGTACAAAATGAAGTCAGGGAATTGCTTTTGGGTGGGCCAAAAATGTGGGGTGGGCCAAAAATTCAGCAAAGACGACATATGATGGTAGCGTCTATCATGGATTTTCCACCTTATGAAATGGATCTTCCTGCAATTTGGAGATCTGACAAAAATTATATCCTTGACCAAACCTTTGACAATGTTCTGACTTAATCCGGGACTGATCTTATCCCAAAAGGAACCCTAAAAACCATTAAATACTACGTAACAACGAGTATTGATCGATAAATCAGATCGTACCGATTTATAAAAATATAGGTAGCTGTATCAGATAACTTTAAACACTCACCCAACCATGTCCTACTTCCCCTAAGACCCAGCGAGAAATTTAACCTAATTTATAACATGTACATGTAACATTATCGAAAAATTTTACATCTTATCGTTCTTATCGTGTGGGCTGATATGATTCTGAGTCACTCTGCGTTCAAAATTACGGCGACTCTCGAGGCGGTCGGTTGACGATTCATGACCGTTATTTCTGGAAAGTGGAAGGAAAAACTAGACGTTCGAACGTAGAGTGATTCAGCACACTCGGAAGTGTATAAGCAGAAGTTGCAGTGAAATTCAAATGCACGCAGCACGTGTCAATGTTCGTGCAGCTTTTTTAAAGCTCGTGCCGCACGCTTGATAGCAGCTATGTAACTCTACGCGCGCGCGCAGGATGCGTCACACTAGATGATAAAACAGAGATTTTGACACACATATTATTTCCGCGCGCTACAGTAAATACCTCACAAATTCTTTCCATTCTACCGGAGATCTGAGTCAGAACTTGCATGCGAACTTCTTTAAGATCGTACTTGTTAATTGACTGAAATAGCGGGGTACTTGCGACAACAAACAAACACCATCATTCAGAGACTTTTTCCAGTATACCAATGGACACACCTAACGGAATGAAAATATCTCCAAAGTTCCAACCAAATCCGAATTATTTCACCTTAGAAAATAAAACCTCTAACCAGTGAATCGCATCTGAACTACAATAGAGACTTGACCATGTTTTGTGCACAATAAGAGGCAAGCAAGAATGATAAACTGTCATTATGTTTGAGTGCAAGGCATGACATTTAGCGCGCACGAGGCCGAGGTAGGCGGCTCCACATTGACGAGACTTCTCTCGTAGGATTGCTACAAAATAAACATTGCTATGTTAAATGAACATTTATTGAGTAAGAGAAATAAATGCGGCTGCATTTAGAGGTGTCCTTACTTATGTTTCAACTTTCAAGTGCATAAGCGGTTTGAGTGGTTAGGTAATAGCTAAATGCAAAGGTTTCTTGTGCGGAATAACTCTCGATTGGATGTGTAACTTAGCGACAGAGCCGGATTTATTAAAACAAATGCCCATTTTGTGGTGATTTTGTCTAAAATCTCTGTCTACATCATCTCCGGGAATAGTAGAGGGCTAAAAACATCTCTCCGCCAACACAATTCACTATTTTCTGTAAAACATGCGACCGCCCTTTGTAACGCAGTCAACCTACCTGCAATAATATGCAGCAAATTATTAACTTTTACCTTATCGGAGAGACACACTTTTATCACCTCACATGGATGCTGCATTTTATGCTTAACAACGCTGAATAATTAAGCAGATAGTTTAACAGATGATAATAATGGAGAGAAACGCTTGACAATAATACAATGCTGATCGGATATAAGTGTTGGGGACGACGTAAAAACCATCGTGTACTAACAAATTTTTTGTTAAAATTTAAATTAATCTCGATATGTTGTGAGTTTTTGTGGTCGGGTCACGAAAATATTCGTGTAAAAGCGCAAGTTGAAGGAGATGGCCGTTAGTAACTGAGTATTATTTCAATGTAACAATTAATTTCAATAATTTATCAGACTTTCTGGTAAGAAGCATTGTATGAATAAAATAACAGATTTTATATATGATCAGGTTAGTCGCACTAAAGCAAGTCTATTGTTATATCCGATCAGACGAGAAACAGCTAGATGGACAAGTTTAATTCTGATAGATTCGACCCGGACACGCACAGATCTTTATACACCATTAATCTGAATAGGGGAGATGCCATTCTTATCATCTTGATCTTGTATTTGTCATGGATTGGTCCACCTGATATGGTCAGGTTAATTGGGTGCATTATGGTATTCCACCCATTTGTTTTACTTTTTAAACTGTTCCATGGATTTCACAAGTTGCTGCACTGAATATTCTGATAGGTAATGGAGACAAGATATTACGATATGCCGGGCCGAAGCTTAATCACATGGTACGTCTAAATTTGTGAATTTAACTAAAATTTTAAGTCTCAATGTACTAGCAGTGTTGTGGACTTGATTTTCCACTTAAAATACTGCTCCTTACTAAGTTAAAATGCTCAGTGGCTCACTGTCCATTGTGTTTCTATCCACTGGAGTCGAGCCAACATCACCACTTTCATGACAGTATCAATCCTTGAGCAACAATCCCGAATACACAAACCCACACAGTCAAGTTTCAGAACGGCATTTAGAGCTTCCTCGACCCTACGTGCTTAATACGGGACTAAAGTCATTATCACAGCGATCACCAACCACCATAATACAAAGGTAAATGGAGGTCGTACCACCTGAAGCAGCTTCTTTGTTCATCGTCCTGCATTCCGAAATACCGCGACTCGTCCCGAAATCTCAGAGTCATCGTCCGGTAAAAACTTACAGGGGCTCAGGAAAAATACTTCTAGAGGGTAATGACTACTGATCAGAATTTACCATAATATCAAGCCACTGATGCGGACAGAGAGATAAGTTATATTTGTTTATCTCTTTGCTTATCTTGTTTACATATTTAGTAGAATACCACCTCTTCGATAATACATGTACTTAAACCTAAAATGATTGGTCACTTTAATGCGAGTCAAGTACTTTAATAACATATTTCGAGCAAGAAGGTCGACTTGCTTTGTTTTTCGAGAGCAGTATTTATCAACATTCAAGGAATTATAAATATTGAAACGAACGAATTACGAAATTTTCACTATCAAACGGATTTTGTCACAGTCCAAATTCGTTGACCGCCATAAATAATAATGGATAATCTATCTAGGTATGTGAGATTCAAAAGATTAGAGAGTTATGGAATACGTTTCACCCTTGAGATATTACCTCATGACTAGATATATATAAAGAATTGATATTTATCGCTGGCGAGACTCCGAGACTATACAATCATTTTGTCTCCCTTCTATTATATAACAACCATTTTGTCGGCAATGATACTATATACGTGTTTTTGGTATGATTGTTTGCACAATAATAGAAACCAAAGTTCTATTGAAAGATCTTGAGATTTCAAGCTCCAGTCCAAATCAATCATTCAGTGAGCACTGGTGACTGGACATTGGACAAGATATATTTCTATGACATTACATCATACATCGTATTAAGACGCAATGAAACTACTATTTTACTATAGTACTACTCAGTAATAGCAGCAAATCTGGGGAAACTTGGTGGACATAGACTTTTTTCACACAATTTGAGTATGTTGACTTCAACATGATGTTGCAGATCATTGTGGTTAATCTCAATGATGGAGTGATGTTTTTCTGGTGCACAAAACACTGCAGTACGGTTATGTTGAATAATTGTGGTTAATGGATCCTCTATGTGGTCACTATGGTGGTTAAAATACCAGTTTTAGGGTTAACCACCATTTTGAGGTATGATATTACGAACTGAGTAGTCAATATATCGAGATCATCTCATGGTGCAACTACTACAAAAGTTTTCAAACCTTAAAATTGGGGGCATTTTGTGGTCCTAATGGTGGTTAAATTGAAGATGAACGGTGAGCTATAAATATTGCTCTGATTATAGATGTATAGTGGTGGTTGTTCATTTGTGCATGGATGATAATTTTTATCACAAATGTGCAATTTAATAGTATGGTTGATTTGAGGTGGTTAATATTCGTAAAAAGCGCTAAAAAGACGGTGAAAATGTCAAAATTTGTTGTTAACAACCAATCAAAACATTATTAATGATTTTAGTCAACATTTTTTGGTCAACAAAGAACATTTCAAGGGTCTTGATAAAAGTTATCGAGAAATATTGTCATAAAAGTGGTTAAAAGGGCTATATTAACATATTACTTGCTAGGCTGTTGAACAAGGCATCTATTAAAGTGAAAATTAACCACAGTATGAACTTGAGATAATGGTTTGCTATCTAATTGAGTGTATATTTGTTTGCATATGCATGATTGACCCCAAGTTCATGTATTCCGATCAATGTGCAGCTAAGGTGCAGTGGTTAAAATGTCTCGAAAATACTCTATATTTGCACTAATTAACCATTTTTAGAGCACATATTAGCTTTGTAAAGCACCAAAATGTTCTGGGATTTTTTTCGTTGCACTAATATGAAGCTATGACATTTTTGGACCAACCAGCATACCGTCACATATATTGTCCCTTGAAACGTTGACAACTTGTCGCTCTCCTCGGCAGCTCTCTCTCTTAATCAAACTTAGTCAAACACGCAATCACCACCACCAGCAGACGCTCACTGTACAATCAAACTGCAGAGTCATAGGACAGGTGGCACAGGAGCCTATCAGGGACCAGTATCATTTGTCAGGCGGTAGGAGCGGCCCAATAGGAAGTCAGCTGCCCGACACCCCCCACCGCACATTGTATTAAGCTTAATAATACGGGAAGGAGTCGATTAGTGCTCTGAGCAACTCTGCCAAAAAATCAAAGACAAAAGAGGATACAAGTTTTATAGAAGTGGTAGATATAACATGGTGGCAATGAGAGATTTCTTCTGGGCTTCAGACTATAATAATAGCGGGGAGTTTCGGACCACAAATGCAAATTCTGGATGATAACCTATGTACTTGATCTGCGGGTGCAGGATTGCAGGATAACAGGTCACTGTTCTGCTATTTAGATCTACTAGCAGGAACCCGTATAACCCTAAAATGGTGTCACGACTCAAGAGACTAAAATAATTTTATTTTGATTACCGCACTATATAGTGACAACACTATATAGTGACAAGCACTTTATAGTGACTTGTCACATGTGAGACGGCTCCAAATTTACCTAAAAGGATGTGACCCATACCTTCAAATGGTAAGGTCGCGTAACATCGGAGACCTACTGGACCTGTGTTGTTACTGGCTGTCTGGCTCGACTGGTGCTTCATGAACAGACAGTAAAGAACTCTCCGAACCACAACCACGATGAAGAAAGAGCAGAGATCTTGGTTCATCCAAGAAGTAAAGAAAAGTAAGGAAAAGTCGATATAAGATAAACTTGTCACTATATTAGTGTTGTCACTATATATTATCTATTTAATTCGTTTTTTTGACACCACTTGGGGGTCCAACTTTGGGGCTCTAAAACTTCTATTTCTTGGCCAATTTTTTATTTTTTCATGCTGATTTGGAGGCCATTAAAGCATTTGGCCCAGTCAAAAAAATTTTAAGTTGTATATCTTTAACGGTTTTTGCGGAAAGTAGCGTTAAAGTTGATGCCGTGGTGTCAGTAAAATGGCACGGATAAACATATATCGTCTCGCTTTATATATAGTAAGATAGTACGTCGGGAGGGTAATCTTAAAAGAAGGACGATCTTACAATAAGCACAAACGTTTGTGCATTTACTTATGGCACACCCTGTAAAGCATCATGGCAGATCTCATTATCCCACCTTGAGCAACGAGAGACCTGACAATACCAACCATGATGCTGGGACGGCACTTCACCGTCACAACTCCTGGAGCCGATAACACTGAATATAGAAATTCACTTCAAAACACCATAGACAACATTACCAGTGAAACGATCACCTGCTACACTGACGGGTCACTCACAGACTCAGGAAGCGGGGCTGGCTATATCATCACAACTGACAACAATAACACCACCCTTGAAGAAAGATCATTCAAGCTCCCTGATTATTGCACTGTTTACCAAACAGAGCTCACCGACAGCATTGAATGAACAATCAGTGAATGAACAATCAGTGAATCCACTTTGAAGTGTCCAATTCCACAATCCTACATCAAACGTCAAATCGACAACAAAGTCAACAGACTGAATCAGGAAACTTGGTTAACTGACGGTCCCAGACACACCAAACTGAAACTCGGCCACAAGCACGCTAACATCATCAAAAACCTCAACACTACACTCAGCAACAACAGAAAAGATTACAGAACTGCAGTTCACCTCATCACGGGTCACTGCGGCTTAAACAAACACCTTCACACCATTCGCAAATCAAACACCAGTGCTTGTCCTATGTGCGGCGACGGAGAGGAAACTGTCTCACACTTCCTTGGACAGTGTCCGGCTATTGCCTAAATTAGAGGTCAATATTTCCAGGACTACTACCTCTCTGTCAATGACATATTCGACAACCAACACATCACTACGATTGTCAATTTCGCAAACCGCACCAAACGCTTAATTGTGCCGGAAGAGCTGGATCAGACCGGGGTGACTTAAAGTATTATCTCATATGATGTCTCGTCTTGTTTTACTTTTCCAAACCCAGCTGGCACTTAAGCGTATCATTTTGATTCATGTCACTTTTTACACCATCCTCCACCATGCCATTCACTCTGATTTCACCGGCAACCTTCCCCAGGGTTGCCACACCCCAGAGGTAGGCAGAGCATCTCAATGCTATCCCCTCGTGGGCTATGTTGGCCCAGCCTCTCTTTTACAATTTTTTTTTTAAAACCCTGTAAAGCACAATTGCTACATTAATTACATAATTACATACATTTTTAACTTACTTTTCTAACTCGGAGGTCTTCATTTCCAGCGTTTTTCTTAGTCCCTCTGCCTTAGTGTTAGCTTCTGATAAACCTGCAGAAATGTTCACTTTATAAATCAAGATTCAAGGAGCAAGGTCGGCAAATAAATGTTCACCCTACATTGTGGAACAATAATCTTGGGTACTGTACCAAATTTGTGCAAGTCTAGTCTACCCCACTCCATTAACTACAATCCATTCACTCCATTTACCACACTCCAGTTGCCACACTCCATCTACCACGCTCCATTTACAACAATCCATTCACTCCATTTACCACACTCCAGTTGCCACACTTCATTTATCACACTCCAATTACCACACTCCATTTACCACACTCCAGTTGCTACACTTCATTTATCACACTCCAATTACCACACTCCATTTACCACACTTCATTTACCACACTCCATCTACCACACTCCATTTACCACAATCCATTCACTCCATTAACCACACTCCATTTACCACACTCCATTCACTCCATTTACCACACTCCAGTTGCCACACTTCATTTATCACACTCCAGTTGCTACACTTCATTCATCACACTCCAATTACCACACTCCATTTACCACATTCTATTTATCACACTCCATCTACCGCATTCCATTTACCACAATCCATTCATTCCATTTACCACAATCCAATTAGGAACCGACCGGAACGGCTTTTTTGCTGCCGGACCGGACCGGACCGGATCTCAATAAAAAATCCGGCAAGCCGGACCGGACCGGACCGGATACCGGATTCGGGCTCTTATTTAAAGGCTCGCCGGATTTTACCGGATTTCTAACACTTGCTGCACGATAATTTCGAATATAGTATCTAGATATATATTATACCATGTCGTTAAACTAAGGAACAACAAAATCAAACTCGATTTCACCCCCTGACGAGCTGGCGCCTGTGCGCCGTGCACGTGCAACAAATATAGCAATACTCAGACTGTCTGGCGTTTGTGCGAGTATCTAAATTAATCCGCTGAGACTTAGTGTCTCGTCTAAACTGCTGTAGGGCGACAGTCAGCCGGGGATCGCTATAAGGGGATGATATTTTGATAGTAAGATAGTAGTAAAGTTAAAAAAATATAAGTTCACTCGATAAAAATAGGAATGAGTTTAAAATCCGGTTCTGGCTAAAATCAGCATTAAAACCGGACCGGACCGAACCGGATCAAAAACGGCCGGATACCGGACCGGACCGGACCGGACCGGATTTCCGGTCGGTTCTTAAATCCAATCACTCTATTTGCCACACTCCATTTGCCACACTCCATTAACCACACTCCATTTACCACACTCCATTTACCACACTCCATTTACCACACTCCATTAACCACACTCCATTTACCACACTCCATTTACCACACTCCATTTACCACACTCCATTTACCACACTCAATTTACCACACTCCATTTACCACACTCCATTTACCATACAAACTTACTCCGTGAGGAGGTCTCCAGCGTGTCTTTCAGAGCAACTAGTTCGTTTTGCGCTTCTTTAAACGACACTTCCAGCCGCTTTGTTTTCCTGAGAATAGATTAAAAATTAAATGGAGGCCAAAAATTTCGTACGTGGAAGTTGTTAGGTTCAAAATAGCACCATTTGTCTTCAAGTGCCTTAATCATTAATAACATAGCCCCTCAGTATTTACTTATTTACAAGGCCACATCAATCTAAAGATCTAAGGCAAGTATGAAGACCATTAGACCAAGTTCCAGACTAGATGATGACTTTTATTTGCTGAAAATTCCTCCTGCACCACAAATGCTGCATTTATAGACATAGAAGTGCATAATCTGGATATTTCCATACCAACTCTCGCTTGAATAACTTAAAAGCACATAGAATTTATTATTTATTTATCTATATTTATTTGCCTACTAATATTTTTTGTCATCCTTGCGATCCTTGTGGTTTTATTCATAGACAAGGGGCTAAAGTTGATAAATGACAATTTAGGCATCGCTACAAAAATACATATTTAACATTAACAACAATGGTTGGCAGCATTGGCAATGCTTATTACTTGATCTGCATATTTAAAGTAAATTTCTTGTACGACTTGCAAGGTGTAATATCTTATTTAAGTAGAAGATACTTTATAATAAGATTAATTTAATATCAACTTCTCTGCAATATCCAAATTCTATGAATTTGTCCTATTAGTAAGTATGGTATTACTAGTAGTGTCAAGGGAAACTTATTTTATGTTGATGATGATTTAATGATTTGTCGCAATGATGATTTACATCAAATCGTCAATGCTGCAATTCAAGTAGAATAGAGACAAATATATCTTTTGACGGATACCCAAAAAATCATGAATTATAAAGGATAATTGACCCACTCCATATCCCATAGTCACCGCTTATCTATCTTTACTTTCATTATAAATAGTTTGTTTTATGATACGACAGCAACTTTATTTCTCTACTTCAGTAAAAGTAATTAAATGACAATTATTCACGACATCATGTCAATGATAACTATGAGGTTTGCGGGAAGACAGTACATGTTGATTGTTTTTGCTGACTTGACCGCCTTGTCAAGTACATAATACTGTTTACAAATAAACACGTGCGAACTGTGGAATGTTTACAATACGTCACGTACGAACAGTGGAATGTACTGTATTATTGGAGAGTTACGGTTTCAAATCTTTCCGAAGAATGGTTAAAATGGATTGTTTTGAAGCTCCACACAGGTTTGTCAGAAACATGCTCACAGAATATACTCGAGGATTACACTGTCAAACTTAAAAGGGTAGGAGAAAAGCACACTTTACAACACTTCTCAAGTTTGTATGTGACAGGTAAATGGTCATGGCCCGCTCATGAAAATAGCTTATAAGATTCCGTACCGATCACCTTCTTTTGTCATAGCGGAGGGAAAATAGGCTCAAATAGGGTATGATGATTCTACTTTAATATTGATGTTCTGGAACAATAGTTTTGATGAAATGGATAAGTGGCGACCTAAAGAAATAAAAACAGGATCTTAGAGTAGGCTGACGGAAATTATAAAATTCATTACCCGTAGCAAGATCAGTCGTACGCTTTTATCTTGTTTAATAGCAGAGGTCGACTCTTAAATGCGAATACAAAAGAATTAACATATTATACCTCTCTCAGATCTGATAACGCTTCAAAGTAATTGTTGTTTTATTTTATTTTTTAAAGACCGCTTGGCGAGCGTCCTCCTTTGGTGTACTAAAAAGTCAGAATTTGTCGCCCACCAAGCTCTAATAATTGATTTTAACCATCACAATAATATCTGATAATATTAATGGCATAGCAAAAACGATGGTATCCAATAATTCAGTAATACTTAATTATTCATTAAATCACTGTACTCAACAGAATTCAATATGTAAAAATGTACCATTAATAATCTAGGCGCGAGTCAACATATTGTCATTACTACAATATGTTATTTCAATTGCGTGCAGAGTATTTTATTTAAGATTTGATTCATAAATGTTTTACAATTTTAATTATGTACTAATAAAGATACAAGATAATAACCCATTACTAGGGACGATAGGGTCGTTTACGAGGCTACAGAGGACAAACCAAAATACTAAACGCCACTAATCTTTAGCACACATGCTCAAAACTTGTTGGGCTACATTATTGACTTTCCAGTCGAGACCCAATCAAATAATTGGGCTAATTAGTCGTCATAATTGGAAAATATTACACTTAACTTCTTGCCTTGATTGGGACATTAAAACTTTATGTAGGCTTATTTGTTTGAGGACAAAATAGTTGTGGGCAACGATTTCCTAGAGACTTGTGAAAAGCCCGTGATAATCAGATGTTCAAAAACAAAGATATACTGTTTACTAACTGCGGTCGCAAACGACCCACTCGTCCGGGTCGCAAACAACCAATCACGGTTTTTACTTCTGAAACAAAGACGTTAGGATAAAATAAAAACTGTAGCATAAGTTAAAAGCATATGGCCAATACTGTGTGACTCTAACTTTTTTTAATACAGAATTTGGGTCATTAACGACCCACTCGGCTCAATCAGCAAGTGATTATCATCATAAACGTGCTTGTCAACACGTTGCCTCCTTCAGATAGTCCTATCAAAGTCGGTAACTTGAATCAAACATGGAGATCTAAAAAGGAACTTGCTATTACTACAAATTAAACAGTTTACACCACAAAATGTGGAAAATGAACTGCAACATTATTTCTATGAAGTTTATACGTTGGTGCTGGTAGACTAAAGTATACGAGAGGGTGATGAGAAAAATCTGGTAAACTATTTAGATATCAATGACCTCATCTGTAGTGAACAGCATAGAATTTGACCCGGTCGGAGCTGCCTTACTCAACCATTTTGATGACATTCTAGATTCTCTTTTAGAATTTTTTGCCTTAATTTGTCCCGAAAGAGGTAAACTATAAATCGTTTATACCAGACAGTATAACTTTTGTTCGTTATTTGAGATAATATTTCAATTAAAACTGAGCTTGATACTGTTTTAAAATTACATTTTTTCATCAAGCTAATGTATCTACAATGTTTGTATGCACTCTGAATAAGGCTGCTATCGGTAAACACGTAACATGAAAACTCTCATGACTGACGTGAAAACTGTCATGACCTCTAAACATACTACGTGACACTGACTCGACTCGTGAGATTTGCCACGGCTCGAGTCACGGACCGTGATTTGCCACGGCTCGAGTCACGGACCGTCTGTTTCGAGTTCTGACCCTAATGTACTGCTGTTATCCGCATTAAAATCTCTCGCTTCCGGCCTGATCGACAGTTGCTTTCATGCTGCAAAGAATTTAAGTTCAATGAAGAGACAGAAGGATCAGCATATTAATGCGCTTTTTAGAGTTGTAGAGTGGAAACAGGTGCATAGCTACGGCTTGCTAGCTATTCCAAAATAAAGATGGACCATTATCTTCAGGGCATATCCCTCAATAGCCAGCACATAATTAATGGTTATCACTTCAGATCAAATGACAATCAAGCCTTATAAGGCTAACAATATCCCAGTTAATATCGTATTGTTTGTGTATTATTGTTATTGTCTTATTGTTACATAATTGAGTCTTAAAAGCATCTGAGAAGGGGTCCCACACCTACAGTATCTCGCTCAGTGTACCCAGCTTCAACTGGAAAACAGAGATTGCTCTATTTTACACACCTACAGCATCTCGCTCAGTGTACCCAGCTTCAACTGGAAAACAGAGATTGCTCTATTTTCAGAATATCACATCCTCCTTCTAAGGAGCTGCCTCTGTTTCATTGAAAGATCCCTCTATATAGTTTCTCTCTCTGTACTTTAAAACATACTCCTCCCAACTATTTCATCATTTCTCGTCATCGTGTGTATTATTGAACCTATTTTATTAGCCGAGTGAGATAAAATAAAGCTCCTTACTCAAGGTCATGCAGCACTCATCTTTACACTTTTTTATTTATTTTTATTATTCATCTTTACAGATCTGAATTCTAATTGAAACGCACCAATCAAAATCCAGCAACGACTAAAACCTTTGTGATGTAACATACTGAAGTTAAGAACGTGCTTCAAGAGCAAACATTGGTTGGGGAAAGTCTTTGTATGAATTGCGCAAGTATTTTTGGTACTTTGATAAAGGCTGTGGTGCTAGATTTAGGGGATGAGACACATTTATTTCGCACCTATGGCGCACATACTAACATACAGGTGTAATATCGAGATATATATATTGTATTGACGTTCTCTTCAGACGTACTTTCTTATTATGAAGAATGAACCAGAAAATCGTCAAACAAAATTAAGCACGAACCACAGCACAATGCAATCCTCAAAAAAAAACGTTTTTAGTCTACAAAAATTTTAAAAAGAGTGTTTAGGATACATATCTGTAGATTAAGAGCGATCAGCTACATTTAGTTGCAGCCCGATTCTCATTAAGATGTCCCTTTTACATATCCAAAACTTGTGGGTCTTTAACTTATAGCTGCTGGTCTTCTAGTTCAAAAAACGGCCGAGAAACTTATGCACCGAAGCTCCATTCCCATATTTGATGGATGTTATAGCTTAAGGAATATTTAGCTGAAAGATTTGTTTACAGCTAGATGTTCTTTTTACAGCTATATTTTGGAGGTGTCGGTGACTTAATCAGGACACCATGTGTCTTTTTTGACACTAACGTATGGAGGTATGGGCAACAGCAAGAATTCTAGATTACGCACAACAAAAAAGAGATATTTTTATACTCAATATATCATGTATCATGATGTATAACCTGCGACGGTACAGTGCATTTATAAAATCATGCAGTAGGTAAAATTCTCATTCGTGTACATTTACCTTCAGCGTATCGAATTTATAGTAATTAACACACCTGTGGTGTGGCATTAATACTGTTGCCATGGTAACGTAACAGATGACACATAGCAACAGAGGCCAGAGTTCCTGGCCAGTTAATATCCAACTACAAATGTGATTAAACGTGATTAATGATATGTTAATCACATCATGTATACATGTCACATCTCACAAAGCTCATGGGGGGACCTTAAAATGGGACATTAAAATGTTCATCTTGTTTATATAGTTTCTCCCCTTCTCCTCCCATGGACAATGACATGGTCGTAGGAGGCACAGAGCATATAATCTTATAATAGGAGGGAAAATGTCATTAAAACCATTAGATGGTGGGGTTAGTCAAGTTTATTGGAGAATACTCTACAAATAGTATAATCTAGCTGAGTAGCGAGTAAATCTCATCAATGGTTCTCATCAGTCATAACTCTTTCTCATTCACAGTGATTTGATAATGAAGATAACAAATCTAAATATAGTTTTATTGTAGCAACGACTTCAACCTGTATTTTGGAATTTGGAAGTTTATAGACCATTATATAAGGTGAATGAGAGGTAATAAGGCCTGTTTAGTGTTTAAGTAGTTATAGAACAGGCATGTTACCAAGTGCTCAAGTGTTAGGGCCAATAGTAAAAGAAAAGTCTGGCAAACAGCCAATCCTGTTACATTCTGTAGGTCACGTGACGTTCACTTCGCTGTTAACCATGAAACCTGACATCACTGTTAGACCATTGCTAAAGTATAACAAAAGGGTAATGAGGGAAATGTGCACGTTTCATTTTATTCTTTTTCAGTAAGCGTGGTCTTTATGAAGGAGTCACATTGTTAAAATATCATTACAGTTGAAAGCAGTTGTTAGGTCGTCGCCTGTTTACAGTTGTTGCTGCTCATTAAAACTTTCCGACCTCCAGAAAATTCCTATTTGCCATTTATATTAGTCCTTATTTAGTCCTTATTTAGTCCCAGTCATATTGTTAGTCGTTAACGTTTCGACCGATTAACATTTAACTCGCGAAAGCTATTATCTGTTTAGTAATCATAACAATAGTCTAGCATTCTATCACTGTTGTAAAAGTTTGACAGTATACATTTTTTATTCACACTCTGACCTGAGTTTAGTCATTTTCCGATACGAGATTGGGGACGGGTTCTATAAACAAACAAACATACATTTTTTAACAACTTAAGAAATTTTTCAAAACTCTTATTTGAGAACTTGTTTTAAAGTAAAACTCCGTCTCAAGTTCTCACATCAAGTTATTTTATAGCGATAGATACCAATCTGTTGAAGAATGAAGCAGCTGATTTTGTTTGCTCTTTTCGGGCTAGTCGCCAGCGATGTTAAGATAAACGAGCGTGCAATTGTGATGGGAATTGCAGGCGGCATCTACGACGGAGAATTAGATGTACCGGAGACACAAGAGGCGATAAAAGAGGCCCTGGGGGAGTTCAAGAGACGAGCTGATAAACTTGGTTCTAGCGAAACAGTGATAGTGGGGGACGTGGTCGAAGTTAAAACCCAGGTTGTAGCCGGAATGAGGTTTATCATCACAATACAACTTGGCCTAACCAGTGACGCGGACTGCCTGGCTAAATCTGAGAATGGTTTTGTTAGCGCCGAAGATTGCTCTGATACCAAGAACCTTGGTTTACACAAGATGTCGATTATCAGTCAGCCCTGGATGGACATTAAATATCTGTTTAATGAGTTTGAAGATGTCGAGGGCCCTGAATTGGAGTCGTTATGGGAGGCTGGAGCCAACTAGATGCTCTTAGTTACAGAAATGAAGGGACCTATGTTTATAAGGTGTCAAGAGACCGAATTCAGTAGTTTTTGCAAAATTTTGTTCTTCGCATTTCGTAAGAACGCACTCAGTTACTTTGGACTAAAATGATAAATTTTAGAAATTGTAAGAACGGTTAAATTATTTATTTTGTTTGCTGCAACTTATCGTTTTTCTTCCAGGTCAGGGTTTTCCTTGTCAACCATTTTCTTATCAACTGTATCTTCCTCTCATGACAAAACTCTAATGGTACCTAACTGGGGACACCTGTTCTCGAGAGCTAAAGAGTCAATATCAGTACTATATATGCTTGACCATTACATAACTATTTAAAGAAGCTTATTTGGACGCAAATAGATTTTTATTTAAGGTGAAATGTCAGCCATTAAAAGCTGTTCATTTGTACGACTCAAATCATCAGACCAACCCCCAAGGGAATTTGAAACTGTAATACTAATTTACATCAGGTCACATTCACAAAATATCATTGAATTTAATAAATTTAGTACAGAACCCTGTACCATAATAGGTATTCAATTTTTTCCTGAGACGCATATTTCAAGTCTACCACTCATATTATTATATTTGTAACTCCTTAAATTTTGGATATGTATCATAACGAGATACTCCTGTTACAACGTACGAGCTACGTTTGATATTTACAGCTATTCATTCAGCCACACGTTAAGGTATCCGATTATATTTGTAATAGGATCAAGGTCACGCACCTCTCGGTACGAACTCAACATGCACGTGTCTACCCTCAGTGTAGAAAAGGTAGCTTGAGAAAAGACTATCCTTCAAAATATCAATTAAGAAGAGAATCTATCTAGCCACTTCACTACTTCACTACCCTGCCAACACAAATGTAGTGTTGTTAACTGTTTTTACAGGTGTTTGTTACAAGTATTCGTTGCAACTGTTACCAGCTGCTCATACTGTATAAACAGTGGTCCTCGTTTTTTCAGAAGCAATGTGACGTCTTCTCGAACCTTCTCGAATCAATTGTAACACATTAGCTCTAAAAAGTTGCATTTTCTTCGACCTGTAGACTCATTAAACTATGTATGGAGTTCTGCGTTGTAAATAGAATTAGTAGCTAAGGATCCATTGGATCTTTGCGATCTCCTTGGTCGACTCAGCCGAATGATAGGAAACTTGATCGAGGGTTAAATGAGGAGGGGTACCTGTTAAAAGTTCAAGTAACTTCCTAGTAGTATTAACTATATTATTAACCATGATGGCTTCATAGTAAATTACTTATTGCGAATACGTCATTGTTGTAGTACTGTTTTTCATCAAACTTTTCAACAAAGCCATTTTCCATCCCAGACTCAGAACTCATAGAGATTTCAAAACATTTTGAGGATCTGGCTCACGTTTTTATTTTCTCACAAAAGATTTTAATGGTGTGAATTGTAAGAAAAAAGAATAAAGGCGCTATTTTTGACGTTCTAATAAATTGAGAAACATTACGAACACCTCACCTCTTATTTTCTTTGTCTTTCAGCTTAGTACTGTAGCCGTCCATCAATGCTCCGTGAATGTTCGCAAGTTTGGCCAGCGACACGTTTGCCTCTTGTAACGCTCCCCTGAGAATATTCAAAGATAAAAAGTCAAGATAATTCTCAGGTTGAGAAAAGGGTCCAAGCTCCTAGGTTAAAAGAATGAGAGGGAGAGTTAATATATGAAAGCAAATAATATAAAATAAGGTGCTCTGGCGATAACAAAAGGTAGTGGATATGGAGCTAATAAAGTAATAAGAGAGTATTGAATATTGGGTTGGCTTGCTGCCAGGAGATGCATAGCCAGTACTAATGGTCACGTGACGCACTATCTGATCGGCAGTGTCACGAGTTGATTACAGTAACCCTTCAAGCACAATATTTCCTTGTGTTTCGAATTGTACTTACACTGCACACTCGAAACTGGAGTCCAAGTCGAACTTGGGAGTGGGAGAAGAGGAGAGATTTTCATCCTCTTCGTATATCAAGAAAAACTGGGATAAAAGGTGTAACAATTTATGAATTGGGCATTGGGTAATTAGAAACATGGTTTAAATACGGATTAAACTCTAATTTCTGTTGTTTTTTATAATTTGGGCTAGTTGATTGTAAACTTTGGAAATTGGAAAAATCTGCAAGTTCATAGTTATAACATTATAATTAAGAAAACGTAGATAAACTTATTTATTTTTCATTATTCGTTTGATATGGTTTAGTGTTAATTTTACAGAGTTTAAGAAAACTCACGTTGTACAGTGATTCCAGCAGCTGAAAGAAAAACAGTGAGTAACATTACAGCATAGTCGGTTACGTAGACACAAACACAATCTTTAATATAATATGATGACAAACTTTTGGAATACTGCAGAATTCAAAGGTTCTTGCAACAAGGAACATCGTATAATACACTATGTACAGGGTGTCCAAAGAAACGCAACCCAGTGATCAGTGTTTTTTCTGTCTAATATATCGACCTTTCTGATCCCAACGTGAACATCAGGTGATACTGAGCTTCAGAGCTTGGCTAACAAGTCATGTAATGAGCAATTCATTGTGGGTGTCATGTTCTGATTGGGTGCTTTATCAGCTTGCCTCAGAGCTGCTGACTCGTTACAGCTGATCAGTACCGATCAACACAGATGTCTAGACAAATATTCTTAAGAATCGTGACACACAATTTAAGTTGTGTGTTACAATTAATAAGTTGCAAAGTAAAACCCCGATTACCGTAAGTTTATGAGGGGAGAGTAAAATAAACGGTAAATCTAGCATTCTAGCTGTAAATTGGGGTACTCTGGGTTTTAGTGTACAATTAATGTAGACACTTACCTGTAATTTGTGTGACGTAAAGAAAAATGTAACCACCTTTTCAGCCATTTTTTGTACGGCCCCTATTATATTATGTTGACTGTCCATCCATGACACCGACAATAAGTAATAGAATACTAATAACTTGTGGGTAGATCAAAGTAATAGCAATTTCGTGAAAACTTCACCAAGTGATAGAAACCGACAAAAGCTTGCTTCGAGAAATATATTAAACAATAATTAATCAATTAAATCCAACTTTCACAGAAAAGATAACATTTCAACGTCAGAATGTCCCACGTTCGCAAGTACTTTGTAATTTAAAAGTAACTCAATAATGTCGTCTGTATCTTTTAATTGATGTCGCACGATTGTGGAATTGCGGGTGCTAGAAACGTAAAAGAATGTATGATATCCTTAACAAAGTGCTTGACTTAGCGGTAGACTGCATGAAAAAAATATCTGCCAGCTCTGATATTGAGGTCAGATCTGAAGTGTAGCACTATGTTACAGTGTGGTACTGTGCTACAGTTGATAGAGGATACTAGACAGTTTTTAAATTGTCTGACATCAAAGCGAATCGTTTGTCATGATGCTAAAATTGATGCAGACTTATTTTTCTATTATACAAAGCTGGTAGTATATATTATATAAATAATTACAATCTTACACTTGGGAAGGAATGTCAATTATGTTGCTTGGAACCGCGTGTAGATGGATAAGAGAGCATGGTGAAACTTTTGGAAGAACTTCATTTATAATTTGTACATGAAACGCAACAAAACATTATTCAGTTTACAACTAAAACGTCTATAAACTTAACTGACCTATAAAATTGAGACTAACCTGGCTCTTTTTCTCAGCAGACTCGTTGAACCCGACGATGAAGACATCAAAAGCTTGTTCCGACTTTTTGCGATCAAGCTGGAAATCCTCCCCGTCACCTATGGTGCTCATACCTTAGAGATACGACTTAGAATTCTTACATTTCAATATATTCTTCAATGATTCTCACTCAATAAACTGTGAACTGGCAATCATAGCAATCTAAAAATTGAGCACGAACTGTCACCTAGATCATATCTGGATAATGCACGTGATATCCTGTCCTGGATAGAGCCTAGCCTCTCTTTCGTCTCCTTCTGCTTCCGCTTATCCTTCTGTAACCTATTGTCTCTCAGTATCTGTGAAATAATTGTGCTTAACCGCTAAAACTGTTAAAACCGCTAAAACCGCTAAATAAGAATAACCTATTCTTAAAAACTTTCAACCCTTTTAAAGATTTGAAAATAATAAGAATTTACAACTGTGTTTATTAAAGCTTTAAGGAAATATTAAATTCCTGAATTCTAGTTACTAGGTCACTTAATGACCATGTTCAACAAGAACATGAAATTCATCTGATATCAGTAATAATTTACCAATGAATTAGGTGAAACAATCACAAAATAAATACCTCTTGGGCGACTTTGTCACCAAAAACATCATCATCAGCTTCATCAACAATCATTTCCGGGGTTAAAGCTTGGAATTGTGGCTGTTCTTTGGCGGTTAATGACCGATTTGGGGGTGAAGGGAAGGATCTTTGTCGAGCACGTGTAGTCATGCTTCTTCTTACATCATATAAACTCTAGAGTAGGATTACGTTTAAAACCAATATTACATGTTTATGAGATAATGCAAATTAATAGATATAAATAAATAAGATTTTCGTGCATGAATTTTGAACATTGAACAGATATTTCGAGAATCATGATTTCTTTATATTACAATGAGATCATAATTTGTGTTTCTATTGTAACCTCATATTTCTTCCCAAGTAAGTAAGACAAACAAACATCGTGAATGCAAAAGCATTGAATTTTATTTATTCGGTAAATTTTAAAAAGCTTTGGTCATAATATTAATACTATACCTTACCGTTAACCATGATCATCAATAATTTATATTAGACCAAAAAAGAAATCAAAAAGTTTAAAAGCTTAAAATATAGATCTGAAATGACAGTAATTGCACGTTAGCATATGGACACGTTCAAAAAAAGGTGGCACTAGAGATTGATTTTTTTAAATGCGTTTTAAAAATAGTCATCGTTCTTTGTTGGTTGATATATCTATCTATACCTTTAGAAATTCGATTAAATTTCATGATCCTGAAATCACGGAGTCTCTAGTGCTTATATCACAGGAGTTATCGTTATTAGTGTGCCAATGATTCAAATATCACACAATTAGAAATGCAAGATGAATCAACACTAGATAATCTGGAAAGTACTATTCACAAATACGCCAAAATTGATATGGTGATTATAATGCATGTAAGGAATGGAATGTCTTATCTGAAATTGTTATTGGTGCCAAAATGATTCAAAAATCACAACTTAAACGTTGGAAATGAGCCTATTTTGAGCAGTGATTATTGAATCATCTTACGTTTTTATTGGCTTTCTATCATTTTTTAGGGTACAAAATAGTATTAAATAGTATTAAAACTAGTTAATATGATTCAAAAATCACATTTTCGTTAAAGGTGCGCTATTAAGTCACACTATAGTAAGCCTTAAATTAAGTGCACGATATGACAATTTATATCCATTCTATGACTCTTATTATGTGATTTTTGAATCCATGTCTAAGCTTATACCATATTGAAGGCCTTTGAGCGATAATTTTTGATCTCGGTGCTTAAATGATTCAAAAATCACACAAATCTGGCTACCAAATATGTAATTTCCTTTAAAGTGTGATAATTGAATCATACGTAATGTTCAAGTTGTAATGACATTTTGAAAGTAAAGGTAATGAATCGATAATCACATTTCAAAAATCCGATTAAGTATTATATGTTACTGATATGATTCATTTGTCACATTATGGCGACAAAATTATCATGGCTTGAGCTGTAAAAGTACTTGCCTAGTTTACTCAGTTTAAAATCAGTTTTTTGTGATTATTAATTCCACTATTACTCTAATAACGAACTTCTCCATGACCATAAACAAGTGTCACAACAAATTACTGCAGATTTACTATGAATACCAACCTGATATAGAGCCAAAAAGTGATACATTCCCCTGATACAGCATAATTTCAATACATGATCATTTATGTGATTTTTGACTCATTATGGCACTTTTAACCATCTAAATTCTCTAAATATTAGTTAGCATGATATAATTGTGATTGATAGAGTTCATTGTTACAATCGTTCCGTTGATATTCATATCACATTCATCATTCTAAAACACTTAGTCAGAATTAACCCTGTGTGTGATAATTGCATCGTAACTCCACATTTAACCGGTGATACTTTGCACTTTTAACACTCAACTATCTCAAAAAGGTTCAATAATCACATTGAGAAGCAGGACACACTCACAGAATGTAAATTCATCATTAGAGGTGCAAGAAATGAATATTTTGTGATTTCTGGCTCATATCTGCACAATTAACAGATATAAAGAGATGAATGACTTAATTATGTGATATTTGAATCTTTTTGGACCACATATTAAAATTTGGTTAACTTTCATAGCATACTCCTTGAGATACAAGTATTTTAAAATGCTTCACACAATTTTGGCAGTGAAAAATCAATCTCTAGTGCCACCTTTTTATGAACGTGTCCATATAATAACATCACAGTTTAACAAAATATTGACATGTCATTAGAATTTTCGAGTCAGTTTTTGGTTTTACTTAAAGTTCAGCAAGTAGCAAATTATGTCTATCTTAAATAAATAGTAAAATATTAAACAAATAAAATCCCATAAAATTTGATTAATCAATTATTGAACAAATAATTAAATTTATGAATAACTGTTCGATCTTCGCACGAAAACGTTGGAAGAAATGTGCTCTGATTTCTTAATTTTCTTGCCCTTTTTTAGCGATTTTGAATAAATCAGGGCCATCGGCAAAATAGCGGTATACAAATGAGCAAAAAAGGCCATTGCAGCATCAGCATACAAAAACGATTTTGGAGTCATCGTTTTAACATCAATTTCCTTAAGCAATATCATACAATACACAACAAATGAAGGAAGGAAGCATAAAAGATAAGACATTGCGGTCGAGATAGTTATCTTAAACACAATTTTCTTCAGCTCACGCATACTTTTCCGAGAAGAATACTTGTTAAAACTCTTGTGCAAAACACAGTAGGTGAAAACTACTACCAAATCAAATCCAAATAGTCCAACAACAAATCCTGCACAAAATCTAATAATCCCCACCTTGTTCAAGGAAGGCTGACATCCAACTCTTCCAGCTTCATTGACGTAATACACAAATTCAAGATCAGCTGGCAGGGCCGCAGCTAAGGAAAGCAGAACTGAGAAAACAAGACAGAAGAAAATACATCTTTTAATGGTTTGAATGGACATTAAACACCGATAACGCAGCGGGTCCGACACAGCAACAGCTCGACAAATACAGATTAGTGCAACAAAAGTTGAAATGTAACAAAAACAAGAAAGTTGAGAAATCCCCCAAACAGAGCAAGAAGGAACAGTAATGAGATAACCAAGTGCTTTTATCAGTGTGCTGATACCATATAGAAGGTCACCAGCCACTGTAAAAGCAAATACAAGAAACATTGGCTGACTGATCGAATAAATCTCATAGAGTGTCTTCAGGACGTGGGCATTGTGGAAGGAACCTGCGAAGAACAGGGTGAAGAATATTAGAGATAAGGAGATGTTTCCTTGAAAATCGGTCACTTCGGCTCCAAGCCTCTGTGTTGAGGCATTGGTTGAACTTTGAGACAACCTGAAGATGATTTCAAACTGATACATCATGTTATATATATAATATGATTGCAATTTTTCATTAATTATTGAGAATGAGGTCGATATTCGATATTATCTTCATTTTTATTGAATAAAAATAAAGGCTTCTTTTTGCCAAAAATGGTAGTATAATCAAAAAATTTTTAAAGTATGAACAGTGAAATGAAAGTCAAATTCTAACTTATTTTACTGGCAGAAAAATTTAAAAAACTGCTATACACAGTAACTTGAGTATCAAATGTACCGACTAATGTTGTTAATTTGCAGTAACTGAATTATTTAAGGGATGTGTTGAAACTGGTGAATTACCAACTTACCAACTTGTCGATAAAGGCGCATTAAGGGGTAGAAATAGTCGTTCACTTTCATCATCATCTTCAACCGATAGGAGAGATCTCATCCACAACAGGGTACAGGACACCCTGTATTTAGATCATATACCGAATACCCATATTCCTAAATGACGTTCAACTGTAATTGTTAAAAAACACACTACAAAACATCGAATTTATAACAATGAAACTTTCAAAATTCACAGCGATCAGTTAGTAACAATTATTATAAGAACTACAAAGTAAAAGTGACAGAAAAGAATTCTTGAGTGTCATCAATGAACATTTTTAAGTTCAAAAGGATTGTAACCATTTAATTCGGTTGAAGTCGATTTCTCAATGATTTTTACAAAAGACTTAATAACAATTTAAGGATAAGTATTACGTAACCTATGTCTCAGAATACTCTTATGTATACTTCAGATGAAGTTAGCAGGATATCAGGGGTGGCTTGAGGGCCATAATAAAATTGGAAAAAATGTCTTTAAAAATTAAAGACATTTTTTTGTTTAACTTTTTCGCCGATGGTACTAGAGTCTCCAAACAGATTGGCTGTTTTGAAGACTGTCAGTTGTTACAAGAAGATATCTATAAGATTCTTGACTGGTCACGTAGCAACAACATGAAGCTTCACGAGCAGAAGTTCGAGCTGTTAAATCACCTCCATAACAGTAAGAGCTCATTCCCCGAACTACCCTTCTTTGCCGAAACACTGCGTTACATAGTATCCAGTCAGGACATACTTTATCCTGTCGAAAACGTCCGAGATCTTGGAGTTATGGTTTCAAGTGATCTTAGCTGGTCGACACACATCGGCAACATGGTACCCAAAGCAAGGAGCACACTATCTTGGGTATTCAGTGTGTTCAAAACTCGCGACAAGACCGTATTGATTACTCTCTACAAGTCACTAGTAAGAAGCTTACTAGAGTATTGCTGCCCACTCTGGAGCCCTACCAAGGTGACTGAAATACAGCTGATAGAGGGGGTGCAAAGAACTTTCACCAGTCGTATTGGCGGTCTTCAACATCTCAACTATTGGGAAAGACTCGTACAGCTTAAATTGATGTCTCTACAGCGCAGACGGGAGAGGTATATCATCCTGATGATGTGGAAGATTCTCCATAATGTGGTACCAAACTGCTGTGATATCAAATTCAAGGTGACCCCAAGACACGGGGATGTAGCTGTCATACCCTCATTGTCAAAGTCAAGTTCCTTACGCAACCAGTCACTGTACGACAGGTCTTTTGCAGTTCAAGGACCGAAGCTGTGGAACAAAGTGCCTCACACAGTAAAGGCTGATTCATCCTTTGACATGTTTAAGTGTAGTTTGTCGAACTTTCTTGCTTTGATACCGGACAACCCTCCGGTCGTCGGCTACAGCTGCAGTTGGTCAAACTCACTGGTCGACTACTCGCCATCCAGGTGGTCAGATATCTGATGACCCTTCCGGGTCCACGGATGAACTCAACGAAGTAACGAAGTAAGTAACTGAATTGTAG